TTTTTTAAATAAAATGTCAATACCTTTTTCCTAATTATTGTTATATTTTATTATTGTTTTTGTATCTATTGATTTTAACATTTGTTCGTCTGTTATCTATTTCCATGTAAATCTTTTTTGGAAAAATAAGTAAATAAATAAAATAATTAATCTTTAAAAACAGCATTTTTGTTCAGATTACTAAAAGATATTTTGAATTGTATTTGTTTTTCTCTCTTATCATTTTTGAGAAAAGCATAAATAATTTGCATGTGTGAGACTCGCACCCGCGTGCAAAATTCATTTTCTTGGTGCGAGCAACTTACACCTGCGATTGGTGAATTTAATTTACAGTATACCTAAATAATTTGTAAGGGGGACAAAATTAAAATAAAATTTAAATGCTTTAGAACAAAAAACCCTAATGACCAGAAACAATTTTTAGTGCTAGAGTTATTGCATACATGTTATAAATAAGAGAGAAAAAAAAAGTTTAATGGGAAACAACAATAAAAAAATCATAACTTTTTATTGCACAATTGAAGAATGCCAAAAATTTAACCCACAAGGGTAATATCAAGGTCAAGTATCTAAAATTTAATAGTATAAAAATTAGCCAAACAAGCAAATATTTAACGCAGTAAATAATTTATAAAGTTTTTTGTTTCATTGATAATTTGATCACGTGTTTACGGATGATAGGATTGATTTCGAAAACTGAACAATTCACACTTGTGAACATAAGGTCAAATTACAACTGTATGCATTCTATAACTGGAGAAAAAAAGAGGTTTAGATGCATTATAACAATGGAGAAAAAAAACCACAATTCACAAAAACACAAATTAAATAATAAAAAAATACAAATCAGAAGAGAGAAAAATCTGAATAATTGAATAAACTGACATGAAAATAAAAAATGCAGAAAACAAAAAATTTCACCCAAACGCTTAGAAAATCCCAAATGTGCTCATTTGTGGAATCCTACTGTACAAGATCAAACATTTTTAATATTTAATTTTCATGTTGGGATGAGATCGTTGGATCATTTAATTTTTAAAGGTCATTGTCCTTGTTTGTTATCAGGCTTCCTTTGTGTTTGTTTAATAGAGGATCAAAATGAAAAAATCATTACTTAAATCCATATTTATTCTGTAGATTTTTTTTAACCATAATATTCAGACATTTTGATATCAGTGCAATAAGAGCCATTTGGGAAGAGGATGTAATTAGACTGGTCTGGCTACAGCTGGATACGGAAATCATGGTAATGCAAATAAAGAGAGGAAAATAATTTTTTCTTCTAGGCCAAGGCTGTCCTAGAACTACTTTTAGTTTATAATGACAAATTGAAGCAGGGAACTCAAGTACCTGACGCCTTGTCGCATGTTAGTGGGGTGTGCACATCTGTTTGAAACAAGCACACACCATGCGACAGAATATAATGTATATCAGTAGTATTAGTGAAATGGATAGCTCTGAGGAAGAATATGAGGAACACATGGAAGTAATGGCAGCAGAAGCGATCTGCTTACTTTCAATGAGGAACAGAAAAATTTTGCTTCATGATGTGAACCTCATTAGAAGTATATCTAGCAAATATCTATGTTGATTTCTATATTAGAAAAGGAAGATCAGGCAAAAAATGCTGATTGATTCAGTATTTTGTATTTTAGAATGATGAAATATCAATTTGATTATATACTTGGAGCAATAAAGGAACGGATCAGAACAAATATAAATTATTATATACCATTTACCATAGTACCACATTTACCCTCAAAGACAAGAAAAAAGGGAAAAACTGACGCCGGACGTATTTTGTTGTTTTCTTTTATCATTATTTTAATCACAACATACTTATGTTAATGAAGGTCAAATTAAACAAGATCAGAAATTTATGAGGTTTTAACGAGTATTTTAACTAACAATCCCCCCCCCCCCCGAGAACAGCACAGAAAACTATTATTAGTATTATCAAAGAGAACCAGTTTAAATTAATTATACTTTTTATCTAAGGTCCTGGACTAATGGTTGAGATGAAAAAGCTAGTGTCACGAGTGGGATTTGAACTCACGACCTTCCGAGTGGATTGAAGTCACAATAGTTCAAGTGGTTAGAGCAGTGGCGTATTAAGCCAAAGGTCATGGGTTCGAATGCCACTCGTGACACTAGCTTTTTCATCTCAACCATTAGTCCAGGACCTTAGATAAAAAGTATAATTAATTTAAACTGGTCCTAATGTTCAGCTGCTCATTGACTGGTAAACTGAAACCTTGGAAAACCATATCCATACCTCCTCGGTAAGGAAATTGCGGTAACCGAGTGGTTAAAATGGACTCCTATTTGTTACGTTAGCAGTTATGGATTTGAATCCTAACAGAGCCCATGCTTTTTTAATTGATAATAGTGTGAAAAATTTATTGTAAAGTGGTTTGACCCCTCATCTGTGACACCCAGTGGGTAGTTGGACATTAAGTCCTACTGTATAACAGGAATTACTTTACTTTTGCCTCATTTGTAATAAAGTCTAGCACTGTTAGTATTTCATCAAGGCCCTGTCAGACATTGGGTAAAAGAAAAATTACCCTTTTGTGGGTACCAAGGCAGAGGGGCTATAAGAAAGCTGATAAATTGACCAAAGAAAATTCAGTGAGGACACCTTTCTATCTTGAACCCTTTTGCCGCCAAACAATATTGCCAAAACCCTAGATCATTGGGTTAAAGAATAAGTCCTTTTCTAAATTTTTTAATACAACTCATTTCTTAACTGCAGAGGAAATTTTGAAATGGGTTTAAGAATGAGCTTTCGGTTCAATAGGATTGCATTCCACGACATCATGTAAAAAAGGTTTGTTAGAGTTAACATATTCAGATCGGGATGAAATTTGGATTTTTTCCCACCTCTAATAGGTGTCATGGCTCAGCCCAGTGCTGCTGAGGGCCTTCAGATGGCTAAAGTGGGGAACACACCCGACACCAATCTGATCCTATCATGTTTTCTCTTGGAGCCATGAGTATCGGATGTCTTTCATTAGATTGTTGCTATCTTTCCATTTTAGTTTTATTTATATTGGAGGTTTCTCTTTGATAATACTAATAATAGTTTTCTGTGTTGTTCTCGGGGGGGGATTGGTAGTTAAAATACTCGTTAAAACCTCGTAAATTTCTGATCTTGTTTAATTTGACCTTCATTAACATAAGTATGTTGTGATTAAAATAATGATAAAAGAAAACAACAAAATACGTCCGGCGTCAGTTTTTCCCTTTTTTCTTGTCTTTGAGGGTAAATGTGGTACTATGGTAAATGGTATATAATAATTTGTATTAGTTTTCCTGATCCGTTCCTTTATTGCTCCAAGTATATAATCAAATTGATGTTTCATCATTCTAAAATACAAAATACTGAATCAATCAGCATTTTCTGCCTGATCTTCCTTTTCTAATATAGAAATCAACATAGGTATTTGCTAGATACACTTATAATGAGGTTCACATCATGAAGCAAACTTTTTCTGTTCCTCATTGAAAGTAAGCAGATTGCTTCTGCTGCCATTACTTCCATGTGTTCCTCATATTCTTCCTCAGAGCTATCCATTTCACTAATACTACTGATATAAATTATATTCTGTCGCATGGTGTGTGCTTGTTTCAAACAGATGTGCACACCCCACTAACATGCGACAAGGCGTCACACGTGACACTTTTCTCATCTCAACCTTAGATAGAAAGTATATTTAATTTGAATAATTAATACTGTCATTTATAACTACTAAATAGACATATTGGGACCATGTTTTGCACTCCGAATAATCAAGCATGTATGGCGGAGAAACTAAGCAGTACAAACTGACATTCTTGAGCCATTTTTTGTGACATTTCATCAATTCATTGAACAATTTTTGATAATAAACATATTCAGTCGTGAAAGAAAACCTCACAGAGCAAATGTATGTTCTACCATGGCAAGCGTGATGTTCGCACAATTACATTCGACAAATTACAGGTTTACAAATTTTAAAATCCATCTCGGTCAAAGAGTGGGGCAAACTTTGCCACAAATATAGTACGTATTCAATTTGACCCTTTAAAGCAAAACAAGACTGATTGGAAAAAAAAAGATGGAATCTGACAAAAAATAGTGTTTTAAATACACAGAAAAATAAATATCTGAGGAGAATCAAGGCGATGAGTTCGTTTTGACCGCCAGTTTTGTACTTCTCGTTTACTAATAATGTAAATTACGTAATTCCTTATAAAAATAAGTTTTTAAAAGGTTTTCATTGCTTAGAATTAGTCTTTCTTGGTATGTATTGATATTTAAGTACTTTATCGACTTATGGCAACAAAAATGGGATCTAACAAATGATACAGAAAGGAAGTTTTTTTATTTTGTTTTTTCTTTTGGAAAATTATTGTAATAAAATCAATGCATAGGCGATAATTAAAAGGAAAGCCGAGAAATTCGATCGCATTAGTTTGTAAAAAAAATCGATTAAAATATGTAACGTTACGAAAGCCTTTCACCGACGCCACACATAGGTTAATATCAATATATTTAAAAAAAAACTTAAGTATAGAAACCGGTAATTTGGTTTTTTTTTTAATTTTCCGAACTGACTCAAATCCATCCTTTTCCGAGGGAATGGTTTTCCGGGAGAAAAGAAAAATTAGGCGGAGGGAAGAGAGCGGATCCATGGCGGTATGAAAACAAAAACAATCCATACACCCGGGAAGGGAAAATTATGAAAAAAAAAGTTGAAAAATGGATTGGAATTTGATAAATTGGGAGTTAAAGCTTAGAAATTTAATGGTAACTTGTTTTTCAAATGATAAACGAGAGGGAAATGAGTGAGCAACTGGGATGCGGCGTGGAAGGAAGAAAAAACCCGCCCAATCAGGGGATGCGTTTTCAACTGTTAAAAAATAGGAAATAAAGATAAAATAATAAACTGAAAAAAAAAGATTAAGCTAAGAGGGTAAAATAGTGTATAATAAGAAATAAAACTAGGTTTATTTACCTGCCGTCTTCGAACTCGACGAAAGCAAAAGGTGGCCCTCTACGGTTTTTAAGATCGACAAACGTCACTTTACCAAATTTGTAGAAAAGGTCTTGGATGTCTTTTGTTCGAATATCAGGCGGGAGATTCCCAACGTAAATCCTGCATTCGTTTCTTCCGGACATGATGTGAGCTCGAGATGGTTTTCTGTTTGTGTGTGTTTTGTTTTTTCTTTCCTCTTCGACTTTTTTTTGTTTTCGTCGACTCTCGAGACTTATTCTATCAACCCTCTTCCGTACACACGCGGAGACTACGGGGGTAAATAACGAAACAATAACAAACCTCGCCCCTGGTCTAAACCTAACCGGTTAAGTCGAACAGACTGCCCGTGCCCTTTTTTGTTTTTTTTTAGAAAAAAGTTTATCCTTTTAACACTGATCCCACGGCGTAAATTGTGTTAACTTTTACATGAGTACGGAAGCCTTTAGACTAATGAAGTAACAAACACAAGAAATAAAGCAGAACACTAAACTGATCAGGGCTGCCAACGCGAAAACTCCTCAGGGTTACGCAGCGCACGACTCAATAATATATCTTATAGAATATCTTCGTCTGATATAATTATCTCAATTTTTTTCCCTTTAAACGATTAAATTTCAATAAATGACAGTGAGAATATTTCTTATTTACATAACAGAAAACGACCCAACCCGGTTCCTGACTGTATTATCGTACATCTTATCAAAGGGTAGAAATACATTGTGTATTATTCATTCGAAATTTTAAACTTTAGAATGCCCATATTCCCCATGTTAAAAGTCGTTGTTAAAAGTTTAAAAAAAATCATAAAACTTTATCTTGTATTCTTTCGAAAAATAATGACTAGTGGTCTTATGACGGGGGAAATTCAGCAAGAACAGGCGGACCAGGAATCAAAAATGACACCGGGGGCGACCGACGTCCAACCATCAAAGTCAAACTGCCCGTTTCACAAATTAAATTACACGCTATTTCAAATCAAAGAATTAACCTTGGTCAGGCAAAACTTCAAATAATCAAATTTAGGCCATCATAGATTCATAACAAATCATGAGTTTATTTGTCCTTTCAAATTATTTCTATACATCTGACATTTTCTCATTGCAAATTTACACTAGACGTAGATGTATCAGTCGGGGTGTATAATATACTGCACCCTTTAAGAGCTGTTGTATCACCGGTTCTGTGCCCACAGCACACCGTTGAGTCCTATTCAACAAGCAAATTACACTAATCCATACACATTCTTGGCCAGTTGCAGGGCTGGAAAATCTAAATAAAGGAGAAAAGTGAGAATAAACACTTGACAGTTGAAAGTCTTGACGATTGAAGACAGCTAAGTGCGAAACCGTCTGAACCACGAATTGCCAAAAGACTTCACTAAAATTGAAGTACAATTGACACAACTAGAATTGGCAGATCAAAGAGGACCAAAATACATTCAAAACACAAAAAATGACTGACAAGGATTCATAATATAAATTGGATTATGCTAATCCATATTTTTGTGCAACATTAATGCAATGAATTGGTGATTCTTGGCCAGTTGCAGGGCTGGAGAATCTGAGTAAAGGAGAAAAGTGAGAATAAATATTCAGGCTTGTCGGTTGAAGACAACTAAGTGCGAAGCCGTCTGGACCAAGAATGAACAAAAGACTTCTCAGAACAATTGACCACAGCTAGATTGGGCAGACCAAGAATGACCAAAATATCATTGAAACAGAGAATGACCAACAAAGCTTCACAACATAAATTGTTGGTTTATTTGTCTCTTCATCCAAATATTTCTATACCTATGATATTTTCTCTGAACAAATTATACTAATCCACATTAAAGAGGAATATTAAAGAGTTCAAATTGCACTCAAATGATTCACAATGAAGATGATTAACTATAGACTTGACCATGGCGTCCAGACATCAAACTACTAACACATGGTCGATCCTGAAACTTTTTACCATTCCCTAGTGGAGGCTAAAAATCGTTACGAAGAGTGGCCTATTGGCCTAAAACAGAAAAGTTATAATAACGAAGCAGCATCTGAATGCAAGTTTTGTACAAATGCTGATGTCCATTCTTGTACTTTTGTAGCTTGTCTGCTTGTGTACATAGATGTTTTCATGTTTTTTAAATATTACTGGTGAAAAAATACAAATGAAACTAAAAACAAACTACATTTATTTGTGCTATTAACTTAAATTATGAAAACTTTACATGTTTGTTATTTACAAATATCACAATTGTTATTTATTTATTTTTTCTTATATGCATTATAAATTGCAATTTTCCCCCTCTTTCTTAATGTAACCTATACTTATAATTGCTTCCTTATATTTTATAATCAATATTTATTAATGTAAATCCATTTTAATGCATGCTTATTTACAATCGGGATACATTACATTGAAAAACTAGTTTCTTTCTTAAACCTGTTACAATTTACAACAAAACTCTAAACAGGACTCTTACCATACAGTAACTATAATGTCTTACAAACTATAATACAATTTAAATTTGCAGAAAACATTAATTTTAAATGAGAATCTAATGAAAAAGGTATATTAAATATATTACAATCAAATATAAAGAATTTTACTAAAATTGTGATTTTTAAAAAAATCATACAGAGAAAGAATTTTAAACAATATAGAATATACTTCTATATATTAAGTTGTTACTAAACTATTTACAATACAATTGTATATTACAACAAAATGAAACGATTTTTTTTTTGTTTTGTTACAAAGGCTTTTAAGTTGAGGTTTTACTTATTTTCTATTTAAACTAGCAAAGGAAAATAAATTGTAATTCAATAGGTAAATTTAATGCTTTTTTAGTATTATTCGTAGTTTAATAATTTAAAACAAAAAAAAAACACTTTGATCAAAATGAAATCTCTCGGTGGAAAATTGTTTCCAACTTTGTCGCTATACATTGTGCAGCCTAACAGGGGGGATGTTTATGTGACAAAGCTAATTAATACTCTAGCATATCTGACACAAAACAGATAAATTAATGAAGTTATTATTTAAAAAATAAATTAATTAAAAAATTTAAAAAAAACATTGGGAACAATACAATTTAGGAACCATTTTAGGGAACCATACTTTTAGTTTTTCTCCTGTCTTTTTTTAACAAACCAAGCTTTATGTTTAACTTCCTAAAAATTATAGATATTGTGAGCTGTCGATGCAGGGAATGGATCTGAAATTTTGTCATTACTGATCATTTTGGTTTGCCTAGGTGGATTTTTTCATCTTTATGCCATCTTCAGTGGGTTTGTCTTGTCCTCACTTTGCTTATTTGCTTACTGACCAGAACAGTGTGACTACACAGAAAAAGGAACATTAACGACCAGGGCCATCAGCTGGCATACCTAGCTATCATAAAAGGACAGTCTGAATATGGCAAAATGACAAAAATGTGTCTGACAGACCAACTCAAAATGTTCAGTAATGATCAAATTTCATGAATAAATAAAGCAGAGAAACACATTATTATTATTATTATAAATAGCTTTAAAGTGACACAAATGTTAAAATTTTTTATTAAATTAATTAAATAAATCATAAAGTACATCGACCATAAAAATAAACTGCTTGACCATTACAAATATTTATGAAATGCTTGGTTTGTCAACTTAAAAAAAAGAAAATTAAAATAACACAATAATGGCTCGAGAACATATTTTACATATGTGGGTTTGACTTACATTAAACTCATAAAAAATTACAATTAAATAATGCTAGTAAATAAATAAAACAAAAGTAAATAAATTGCTTTTATTCTATGTGCAAAGATATAATGTATTGTCACTTAAAAAAATCAGTACAATTATCATTGTTGAAAGACAAAAAGTAAATCAAATAAAAAAACAATTTTTTTTGAGTTGCTAATAATAAATTAACTTTTTTATAAGGAGGAAAAATAAAAAAATTAGGACTACATTGTTTTGGTATTTATATTTTAACCTCTTTGCAAGTTAGACTGCTAGAAATGTTTAATTCCGCAATCGAATCATTTTTTTTATTTTTTATTTACTTATTTTTAAGAACAATTAGGTAGATCTGTACAAATCTCAAGTAAGGCATAGATTGGACTGAAAATAACTATTTACTACAGAAATTGCAAAAGACACATAATTTTTTATTCTTTTTAATTTGAGCAACTAATACTTAAAATATCAAGAAGTTTTATTTATTATTTTCTATATGAAATGTTTATATTACAGAACTGATATTAAATGCTAGGTTTTTAATCTAATAAAATACAACACCAAATCCAACAAGGAACACATTTTATCATAAATTTATGACATGGGAAAATCTCAGATTGAATTTGAATCTCAATAAGTGGAAAAAAAGAAGAAAAGGAAAGAAGAACAATATAACATAAGCTTGCTACCAATACAAGGTGAACATTCTCAGAAGATAAATTATAACTGAAAAGAAGAATTTCCCTCTTTTTTTATTATACCAGATCATCAAAGTAATTCTATAAATTACCTTGACGTTTAACTACTAAAACTAAAATTTTCCATTTTCAGTCAACACATTTTTCAACATAAAGACTAGATAAAAAATATATACAGTAGGGTCAACGTGCTGGCCGAGCAAGTAGGACACATTAAAAAATATTTAAAAAAAGGACAATGTGAGATCTCCTCTTGAGGGTCTTACCTGTAATTCAGTCATTTACGATTGTTTGGGTCTGTCTGGCTAACCTAACTTTGAATATGGCTATAGATTTAAATGCAGCAGTGAGGAGAGGCCATGAATACGAAGACCAATCATGTTTTACATTACATATTATTAAATATTATATTAAGAAATAGATGATAATCTCTGCTTTTATTTTATTTTTTAACAGTATGAAGTATGCGTTCCACTCCAATGGTGAATATCAAGCAGTCCAGTATTTAAAAAAAAATATTTACCAAAAAAATCTAACTTTTTCCATCTTAGAAGATGGATAGAATGATGCAAAAAAAATCAGTCAGGACTGTTAAAAAGACCTTAAGTTATGGCAGAAAACGAACTTCAAATAGGTTGATTTTATTTTATTATTGATTCAAATAATTAATTGACTATACTCTTAAAATTTTTTGGACTGAAAAGGAGGTAAATGACTCCACATTTGAAAACTTAAGCTCGATTTGTAATGATAAAATACATGTCAAGATTTAACTGACTTCAATCCTTTTAACATAACATATAAAATAATAGTTAAGAAATAAAAAAACAAACAATCTGTTTATCATGAATTATTATTTTAAACCTGGTATAAGTCTATGAGATTGTTAAACAAACAAAAAATAATGACTTTAAATTTTCCACCTTGAATTGGTCAATAAAAATACAAAATGAACATTTTTTAAACAGAAAAAAAAAAAAAAATTTCTAGATAGTGAACATCTTATGTGATTATACGAGGGGAATGAAGACCTTCTACCTGTTTGTCAATAACTGGGCAATGTCGACTACCCTGTCCCCAGTCATGAAGATCCCACGAATTGGCCAGCCTATGCGTGAGACGGTGGGCTATTGAAAATCCACAGCTTCCTTCCAATTGGGTTAAAACAATAATAACTTGTCTAAAAACAAATTATATGAATGTTTTAAATAATATAAAACAATTTAGAACTGTCTGAATATTCCAGTTTTGTTGGTAATATAAGCACAAAGCTGAGAAAAGTAAATGAAGTGAAAACATTTTTTTAAGTCTAGTTGAGATACCAATAAACTAGAGATAATGAAAACCATTCCATAATATGCAATAATGAACTTCTGATCATGACTAAAAATGACTATAATAAAACAATTTGTTGGAAAGCTATAGCTCTTTTTGCATGAAGTTTTTGGTGCAAGCAAATCTTTTCGTATTTTGATTTACCTGTGAAGGGGTGGAACGGAATCAACTGTTCTCAATTCGCCTCTTGTTGAAACGACATTGTAACTTTCTTGGCAGTCACATTTAACATGGATCCATTTGTTTTCATGCCTATTTTCAACCATAACGACAAGTCCGGCCCATCCTTTGGTCAAATAAAACGCTGTCATTCCTTCTCTTCCCTTAAGAAAAAACAATTATTAATTCAAGTAAATACTGTGTTTATTATGCAACTATCCTACAATTTAGATATTGCATAAGTGTAATTATAATATAATGCTAATTTACCTCGTGGCGTTGGCCTTTTGTTAGGGTAAGACTAATAATTGCGTCTGCTAAGATAAAAGCTGGTGGTATCATTGGCTCAACGATTAGACGTTTTGAACTATGAATAGCCAATACATATTCAGGGAAATTAATTGGATCTTCAATTCCTGAGCAAAGCATAAATAAAAATTTAAAAATATTATTTAATCAACACTTGTGAAATGACAAAAAGATATACATTGTTATGTGAGAATTTTTTTTTATTGTGGTTAGCTATATATTAGGATTGCTTGACCAACACTTTTTTTCTATGGCATCCCCTTGTTATTAAGAACTGAAATATTCAAATTTCTTTCTGATAGGGAAAAAAATTGTCAGTTTACAAAAACTTCAGTGTTACAAACATAAAGATGTGCCTTTGCAAAAGGTAGAGAATTTATGGAAAATCATGTTGACAATTCGTTATAAGTATTTATATGCTTCTAATCAGATAATTATCAAGTAATATTAATTATGAAGTAAATGTTATCTACCTGTATGCCAATGGTTAAAAGCTAAACAAACAACGATGTAAAGATCGCTTTCCAGCATTTTATGGCATCCTACAAACCCTCGTACTTGACGTTTACTGTGTTCTACTAATCGCCCAACACTAGGATTAGCAGGGCTTCTAGTTCGAAAGACTACTACACAAAGGTCTAATTGAGATCGTTGAGATTTTTCTGAATTTCTGAAACAAAAAGTGTTTTTAACATGGGATAGATACATACATTTTTTCCATTAACATTTTCATTGATTTTGTGTTTTGAGGGATTAGAGATTGCATTAGATTAGGTAGAGTTAAGGTTTGCGTTGGAGGTGGTTTAGTGTAAAGGTGTTAAGGATGTGTTGGGATATGATAGAGTAAGGATTAGATTACGGGTTAGGGTTGGTGTTAGGAATGGTTCAGAGTTAGGATTGTATAGGGTTACATTTCTTGGCAAGCATGGGTTAAGTTCGATTCAGTTGGGTTATGATTAAGTTATATTAGGTAGCATTAAAGTTCGTGTTAGGGATGTGTTGGGCTTGATTAAAATAAGGATTCGGTTAGATTAGGTAGGGGTTGAGTTGTGGCTAGGGTATAGTAGAGTTCCTTAGGGGGATGGGTTGGGTTAGGTTAAGGTAAGAACTTGGTTAGATTTGGGTTAGGGTTAGTGTTGGAGTTAGTGGTAGGTTCAATTCAGTTTGGTTATGATTAGTTTTAAACTGGGGTTAGGGTTAGTGATAAGCAAGCATTAGGTTCGATACAGTTGGGTTGTGTAGATTGTGTTAGATTAGGTAAGATTAGAGTTAGGAACAGATTAAAGTTAAGGATAGGATTACATAGGGCTACAGTTAAGCATGAGTTAAGTTTGATTAAGTTAGGGTTAGGTTAGATTAGGTAGTTCTAGGGTAAGGGTTGGTGTTAAGGATCGGTTACATTTACTTATTTACACCAAAAGTATTATTTTCTACCTCTGTCCTTCTTGGAAAAGGGAAAACTCTGCTTCAGTTGGTTCCAAAACAGTCAGCAACACACAAGATAAATGGTCAACTGATGAAAGTGGAGGTAATGTTCCTTGTCGTCTAACTTCATTCCAACCGCTACTTCTTACTTTGCATATGTCAATACAATCAAAATACCTGTAAGAAAAAGTTCCAATTTAAATATTTCCAACAGAAAATGTAATTTTATCACATATTAATAATTGTATAAGTACTTTAAAACATCTTCAAAAGATATCCAAAATACACCGTCAGAAGCTCCATGGGGCATAAGTAGCTCCCTTAATTCGGGCGTCCAAATCGGAGAATCATCTGACCAATCACCTTTCCATGAATAATGGCCCCAAGGATTCCTCAATCTTAGAAGTCTGATACCGCTCAAATCGTCTCGAACATCCAAGACAGAATAAGCATGTCTAAGATAAAATATATAAATTTAATGAGGAATTTTAAGTTAGTAAGTAGAAGTTATTAAATTGTTGTACTAGAATAGACAAAATATTACTATTTGCGAGAAGAAATAAGACAAAAATTGAGCAATGTACAGGTTTATTTAAATTATCCTGGTTGGTTGCTGGTTCAATCTGACAGACAAATTTTATCATAATGCCCTCCTCAGTTGTAGATTATAAAATATATATAAAAAATCCACCACTGAAAAACAGCAACGATACTTGCTTGACAGACCAAACCAGCAAAATATCAAAAACGACCTTACATGAAAAAAAAAAAGTGTTGAATATTTCTAACAAAATGAAAAGAGCTTTATAAACCTTGGCCTCAATCCTTTGGCTATGTATTCTTCTTCATCGACTTTCATGTTCCCTCCTCCACAAGATGCACCCATTAAATATCGAGCCAACCTAGAACTCAAAAGTTGCGCCCAAATTAAGTCCTTATCAAGCTCATCTTCAGACGGCAGGGAACTTGGTTGTAGTGGGACACTTTCGCATGGAGCTCCTGAACATATAATAATACAGTAGAATGAAGGAAAGATGAATTAACTGAGAATCAGGGATGCAGTATGCAGTATGCATCTGGATTTAAAACTGACAAGTTTCTTATTTGTGTTTGAATAACATCTAAACATATTGCTTGCATCCCTGATCCTCAACATGTTGGTAATACAGTAGAACACAAAATGTTTTGTACACTTTAAAGACAAATGACACAATACCTGTCAACGTCGCCAAACCTTCGATAGCTCTACCAGAAACAAGAGCTTCATAACAACCGTGGATTTTTGCCACAGCCTTCTCTATTAATGGCACCCAAAGTTGTTTCCGTTTTGCCTGTCACAAGTCATTTTAATTATATAAATGTCTATTTCTTATAAATAAATTAATAACATGCTTTGTCTTACCTGTGAGTACACTAAATTTCCACGTTTGTCACAAGGAAGTAAATCATCGACGAGTACAGTAATCCATCGACCATCTTTACACAAACGGACTTGGTATGCACCTTGTGGGCAGTATTCACGCATAACCATTACATTTCTGACTAGATCTTCTCTTTCTGCCAAAACCGCTAAAGCACTCAACAGCCAACAGTTTCCTAAGACTCCTGAAAGTAAAGTATATGCAACATACTTAGATAACTAAGGATTTAATTAAGCCATATACTCTGGTTTTGATAAATCACAACAATTTGGAGGATACTATCAAAATTGCATGGATGGGTGAAGCACTACAACCGGTGGGATAAATGGTGTGAAGTTATGAGCTCTAGTGTTGGTGAGAGGATGAATTTACTATACATAATCCATGAAACTAAAATCTTTTGGCTGTTCATTTATTCCCTCACCACCACCCTCACTAAGGTTGCCAAACTTTTTCTCTGGTGGAATCAATGAGGTGGTGGCGAGTTCTTGATGAAAAGTCGGTGGAAAAGGACGAGACATCACTAAGATTTTGAAGATACCTATAGCGTTGAAAAGTAAGTTGATCAATACATTTTTCTTTGTGTGAATGCATGCATGATCATTTTTGCATTATCAAATAGTACTCTAATGAGTTAGTTTAGAGATAGGTTAGGTCAAAGTAGGTTGAAATTCCAAACGCTTTTCTATGTAATGTTGCATTATTAATTAATGGATGCAAATAGTTAAATTCCAACATGGGGGGACCGCAGTAGCCGGTTAGCACGATATGACTCTCGGCTCATAGACTCCCATGGTCATGGGTTCGATTTCCACCATCACCCATGGCCTTTTTTTCATGCTACCCTTTCCCCAAGAAAAACTACACCATCAAATACATACATCGTTTCTGTGGCTAGTATGAAAAAACATAAGGCATAAAATCATTACTTGTATTGTCCCTCTGAAAAGGGATTAGTTAAAATGTTTTTATTCATTAGTTTTTAAAATTTTGTATAGCTGCAAGGTGATTTGGTAATTCAAAATTGAGAAGAAAGTACTGCGAGAAAACCGCAGCTTATACTATGAAGAAAATTTTTGAGATGTGCTTTAAGAAAAAGAACCACCCAAAAAGTGGTTTGCTTGCTTCGGAAGTAAAAATTTTGATTTGGAAGATGCAAAATGCTTTGGTCGTCCTTCAACCTTGTTGACGACCAAATTCAAGCTTTTGTCATTCAAGAGTTCACAGAGACATTTAATATCTACAACTGTTTCAACATACATATGTTTGTCGGAGTAATATATTGGTTTTGCACATGTTGACTGAAGAATTTATTGGGCTGCATCTCCATCTACAATTCCCCCATAAAATACATATTTTTCAAAATGGTGATGGAGGCAGTGGGTCAACAACCATGTTCAGAGAGGAAAATCCTGTGAAATACACAGCAACCCACTGTTAACAACTATAAAAGCCGATTTACATCCCAAGAAGTTACTTGTCAAGCATTTAGTGGAATTGCAAGGGGTGCTTTATTACAATCCACTCAACCAAGCTGGTAGTTCTAGTGTTTTCTGCACATAATTTGTGGGATTAAAGTCAGCAACTGACAAAAACAGGCATTGGCAAATCGCAAGGTTTTTTTCCATCAGAATATCACCCGCCCTTACCTTTGTAGATATAAAAATTGTCGGATCTCAGCTTGAATGTGCTACCCCACCCATAATATTCATTGGAGTGGAATTTCTAACAGCTTTAGCAAAGTCAATGGTTCCATTAAAGGCCCTATAAATTTTGAAGTTCAAAATTGTTGAACCATAATTTTCACCCTTTAGTTCCCTTAATGACAAGTACAGTATAATAATAATAATAATAATAGTATGGGATATTATTAAGCTCCTAAAAACATACTGGTAACCCTGTTTTAAGTATTTTTATTCTTTTTTAAACACAAAATTTGAGATAAAAGTTAATGTCATTTTAACTGATAATAAATTAAGTGCTCATAGTACCAAAAGAAAAATTTCACAATTTCCTCAAATAGTGTTGATTAACAGGACACTCTGGATGTAGCTTATTAAAGCATGATTCAGCCTGTTGCAATTTTCGGTCCTCTTTTTCTAAGAGCAGAATCATCTCCACTTTTTCTTGTAATGTAACAAGACATTTTTATAATAAGCAAAACAAAACGTTAGTGTGTTAGTTTTTAAGATAAATATTAATTAAGGATTAAAACATTTCAATATTTTTTTATTATTCAAAAGCCTTATGCATCAACAACACTTTTTTATGTTTTGTTTATCAAATGTTACTTAAAATTTGTATTACTGGACTGGACCACTGGATTATATTTACGACCTGATATATTTTTACACTAATTTGTTTAAATAATAGTAACTTTTAAGACAAAGCTCCCAAAGTTTAATTTATTACATTATGATTGATTTTAATTTTAAATTTTGTAAGTTTACCTTGAGATATATCTGAAGGCAATGGAGTACGGAAAACAACCCAATCTAAATTATTGTCATTTTCTGTGTTTATTTGGTGCGGTCTCAGCCATTTGACTACTCTGTTGTCTTTCACATCACTTGGATTATAGTATAACGATTTAGAAGCCGGTGGAAATGAGTCATCGACAAATGGTTCATTGTTCTGTAATAAAAATAATTATTAGTGATTTGAGAAACTGTAACTGAACACTTAAAATTTAAAAAAAATTGTTTGCTTTAGTACGAAATTTACAAACAGATACATATATTCTATGTTCATTGTGATTGAAATTTAATTTAAAATGCCTTTATAAGAGTTTCTGAGCATACAATACCCAAACTGCAGACTTTTTTTTAAGTCAATAAAGTCAATATAAAAACTATTCTTCTTATTAATATATATTATACATAAATAAATTTGTAACATACTAACAAGTTAGTGCATATTTCCTATTTGATGTAATTTTTTTTTGTATACAGGGTGAACAGCTGAAAAAGTCTCACCCACTTTTCTCAAAAATCATGGTACATTAAAAAATTTAAAACTAAAGTGAATTAATAATTAAAAATTCAATAAAGCACCTAAACTTTGACCAAAATTGTTTTGTTTTTCCTTTAAAAATTTTTAAACTATGTCAAAAATCTCCACTAACAACGAATTTCATTCAAACAAATTCCAATGTTTATTAAATACACTTGTTAGATGCATTTTTTAAAATGTACAGTTGTTTTTGATAAAATGGTTGGGAGATTTTCATTCATTCCTCCCTTTTATAAGGACTTACCTCTTGACAATATTGGACTATTCGTTCCCATTTGTCGAGTGCTTCACGTTCCTCTATTATTCTAAGGTTTTCCATAAGTTCACTCCTTTGAACTTTAGGAAAAGTTTGTTTTTGGCTACACGGTGTTGTTGTAGTAGTCGGTACTGAAACACATCTTGAAGTCTGGCACATTTCGCAAGCAGGAGAAGCCGTACGATTCTCAAATGTGCAGTGGACACATTGCCACGATCTACAGTAGTTATTTTCTTCTGCCGATTCGGCCTTGTTATCTGAGGTGTTTAATTTTAATTTTGTAACTGGTTTATAATTGCTACCAGAGCTATTTCTTCGTGCTATTGTTTTTTGCTTAGGAATAGCACCTCCGGTTGAATGTAACAATTTTTGTTTTGAGTGTCTAGGAGATGGACTTCGCGGAGTGATACTTTTTTGGGGCACATCCAACAATTTTGACTTATTATTGTGAGACTTACATGCTTGACAGCATTGACTACTTAATGGATTTCTTAAAGTACAGCAAGGGCAAGACCAAAATTCACCTTTTCGGAGAGTCATATCACAGACCAAAGAAACACTTTTTAATTTTGAACCACCACACACAATACAAACTTTAGAATTTCCAGTATTAACTAGAGTACACTTTCTACATGTCCATTCGTTGGTTTCATTTCTTTCATTATCTAAAGGAGTCACTTTAAAGTCCCTATCTAAGGTCTGCTGAAAATGTTCAATACTTACATCACTACTATTTTCACCCTTTTGAGGTGAGTAACGAACACTATCTTTGGTTACAGTTATAAGGCTGGGTTCAGTCAATGAGGGTGGTGTACGCACAGAGTAACAAATATCACATTTTTCAGACTTGAAAGGATTATATGCATAAGAACACTTGGTGCAAGTCCATTTCCGTTCCAGATTTTCCAGGTCTTTAGAATGATCGAATGAATTTTTAACAGCTATAGCAGAGTCAAGTTTTATATCAGTATAGTGGGAATTAACTAAACCACACTGGCTATTTATAATATGTTGATTTGACCCTTGATTGTTTTGATCGGATAATCCTATACATGAATACCTTGTAAAATTTTGTCCGTGTAGGGCTGACAATTGTAAATTTAGGTTGTTAATAGAACTTCTTACTAATGTAGCATTCCCTTGGCAATCAGGTTCTAATAGGCTGTGTCGATTGACACTTTTTTGCTCTTGTTTATTTTCATTTGTTAACAGTTCTGGTTGAGATCTTCTATAAACTGGCTTCTGCCATAACTCTGGTAACGTCCGAGAATTTTGTGGTACAATTATTCTACTTTTTTGATTGACTCTTTTCTCCCAGTTAGAATCAGAAATAACCATGTTGGTTGATTGATCAACATTGACTGGTGTCGAAGTGGGTAAATTACTTTTCCTTGGCGTTTCACAGACTTCACATCTATCAGAATCAATGACATTGTGAAATGTGCACCTTTGACAAGACCACTTATCCTTTGTATCATCTTCAGACATGGAAAAGTTACTATTCTTATCTCCAATGTCGAAGCTGAGCATATTTTTCTCGACGAGTAAACTGCTCGGTCGACGAGGTTCAGTGTACTTTTTGTGAATGACTGAGCCATTTGAAAGCGATCTACTTACTTTTGATTTCACCTTTTCATAAACCGAAAGGCTGTGACGTTTGGGAGATTTGTTAACGGGATATTCTTGACATTCGTTATCTAGAATGTTGTTAAGATTGCTTTGTTTTTCTGCAAATTCATCATCATTTACAAATATTTCTGGGGCAGCCATCTCTTTCTTACAGACCACACAGCTCGAAGTACTGGAACAGTTTTTAAACTGGCAACCTTCGCATATCCATCTTCTCATGAAACAAGGTAAACTAGACGAATATTGGTCAACATTCTCTTCATGACTTGAACACCATGTCGAATGAGGGCAATCAAATTTCCCATCTTTGGTGTTACGAGAGCTAAAACAAAAACATCAAATCAAATGTAAACATATCCATGATTCAACTAAAAAATAAAACAGAAAAAAAGCAAAATTTAAAATTTTATAATTTTTATAATTACAGAAAAAATGCATTTAGTTTCTCGATTGCACTGCCTACACTAAATATGACTTATTTATTTTCAAAACTGTAAATATGTATATATCAATCTACTTTTATTACCAAAATATGTCAACAAGCATGAGAGAAAATTAAGCACAAGAAAAAAATTAACAATGAATTTATTTATTTTTTAAAAATATTTATTTATTTATATAATTATAATTTTTTTCAACAATCCTTACCTCAAGAGGAAATGGACATTATTATAACATAGTCATAGCTTGTAAAGCATGCAATTAATTCAGACCTTATGTACATGTGATTTTTTCTTTTCTATTCCTACAAAAAAATAAGCTGTCACATCAAGTTCAATCAAAAATAAAAATAATTGAAAGTATGTTTTAAACTTCTATGGTTTGAATTTTGTTTAATAGCATCCACCTCGCCTCGAACGGATATTTCAATTGTGCTATTAGTTTTATTAAATTTTGTGAAATGTGGTGGATCTATATAGTGATGAACCAGTAGCTCGGTCGGCCCCGATTTGTAAAGGCCAATCACCGAAGATGGCAACTTTTGACTAAAATGAAACGGGCTACAGGTTTTTAATATATCTGAAATTTGCAATAAAATTTAATATTAGATTCTGTGAAATACACGACCACAAGAGCAAACCAATTGCTACTTAGGAAAAAAAAATCGAGTTTACATGAACATGAAATCTGAATTAACTCTATTTTTAAAACTTCTTTGCCAAAAATGGTAAGGAACTAACCAATTTTCACTTGTCAAGAATAATATCACTTTTTTTTATTTTGTTGATATTGTAGTTTGACTGAATAGTGTTCTGATGTGCTTAATAAAGAGGACATTTGTTGTATTTGTTTCAACTATAAATTATATGTACGTTTATTTTAGGACTGTCCTGTGTTTATATTATTATGTATTTATTTTACATCTTTTCCACCGGAGTTAAGCGATTTATAATGTAACATAAATTGCCTAATTAAATTATTACCAGAATAATGTGCCAAGAGTCTAACAAGAATATATGTGCTAATAATAACAAACATTTTTTTTCAACGAGGGTGTTTCAACTATGAGGTTATATGAACCCTGAAGTGTTTGAAAAAACGTCTATTTGAAGTAGGCCGCTGGATTCAAACCCACGATCTTACCTTACAGTGATAAGGGTGTCTTTGCCTCAACTGTTACGGCTATCGACACCACTTAATAAATGTTTATTTATGAAGAATAGTTCTTTAACTTGGATATACAAAATTTTTCTTTCACTATTTTTATATTACTGTTTGGATTAGGTTGTAGGGTTCGAGGGGTAGGATTGGGTTAGATAGACTCCCTTTCTTCTACAGCAACCTAAAAGACTATTGTGGAATTGACCCTTCTTTATATCCATACCCTAAAAAGTGCAGTTTAAGGTATTTAAGCACACTGGGGTTCTTTTTGCTTATTTCCCTAGATGTTAGTGTCAACAAAGTGGCTGTTACCATTTCCGGGATAACGCTTTCAGTCCAAAAATATTTTCTTTGGCTTCATGGTAGATTCTATTTTCCCCATTTTTTAATGTAGTAATTAAACAGGCAATGGTAAGTATAAAGACTTATTATTTTCCATAATTCCTGCCTGCAGAAAACTAGATTTTTGTTTTTCTAGTCGAGATGCTGAGAAACTACTTTGATTGTTAGGTTAGGATTAAGGAGGGGTTATGTAGAGGGTAAGTAGGGTTAGGGCTAAAGTTAGGGATGAGAGATTACTTATCCATGATTCAGTGTTTTTTCATGAAGGGGGGAAATTATGCGAGTGTTTTTTCCTATGTAAAATTAGCTTGGCCTGAGGTTGTTAACAAGAATATAAAGCATAAATCCTTTCACTTATCAATAAGCAACAAAATTCCAGAGATCATAACTAAAGTGAGGAACCAAGCCATATCTAAAGAACATAATTTAAATATTCTATATATATACATACATAATTGAACTGGGCTCGAAATTAAGATGTGACATTTTTTATCTCAAATTTTGTATGTTAGAAAATAACCATTAAGTATTTTTGTTATATATAGTTTTGTCAATGTGTTTGAGTCAGTGATATTAAATACTACCACATAATTGCATAAACTAAAAAGAAAAATAAATAAAAAAGAAAAACATATGAAACACTCACTGGAAAACAGAACATAGCTGAACCCACAATCGCATATATTTAAAAGGAAATAAAAGTATTCAACAAATGGATGAAAAATTCAAATATTAAGACGTTAAAAGCACAACTGAGAATAGGACCAGTAGGTCTATCAGTATATCCAAAAATAAACGAGATATGCACTAAGACAAAAATGTATTATTGCTTATCAGTACATGGACTAATAATTAATCAACTGAATAGTCATTGTTTAAATAGCTTTGAAGCAACAAAGACGGCGAAACAACACTTAATAATTTTTCTCAAGTTTGTAGAAAAATCAATGAATCAGTGCAATCAATTGTTTTCAGGCCTATGAATGCCTCATACCCTCAAAACTAGAAGAGCAAATCAGCACATCCCAGAACATGCTAAATGTGGAAATGAACAAATAATTGGAGAAAGAAATTACACACTGGATGAATAACCAGCTGCACGAAGAAGTTTCTCAACATTTCAACTGGATAAACAAAAAAATCAACCTCTCACCCAGCAGGCAGTTATTAAGGACAATGACAGTCCTTTATACTGGCTCATTTAAGAAAAGGGAAAAACTGAGAAGTAAATCTGCTTTGAAATAGCAGACATTGGAACTTATGTGACTGCAAAGCGTTAGCCCAGAAACAGTACAGCCACTTCGAAGAGGTGGTACTAATGCCTAGGCAAAGTGGATTTCTGGTGTATGGATGTAAAAAAGGGACAGTCCAATAAAAGATCTTTAATTGGCAGTTGAAAACTGAGACTATGTCACCAACACCCACAGAGGAAAAAAGGCCGAATTGAATATTAAATAAATACAATGTTTGTTGAATGTTACAATAAATACAAAAGACTAAAATGTTAAATCGTGTATACAACGCATATAATGCCATAGTTTATAATGAAGTATTTTAAACTTTTTGTCATTCCAACTGGGAATAATTTTTCAATTAAATTTTGTCTCCAGTCTTTGCTATTTTCACAAATATAATACTACATATTCACTAGTTGGTAGAAAGAAGAAAGTCATAATTTTTTCTCTGCTTCAAGGAAAAACATCGAATCGTGGATATGTAACCTAACCTATCTGTCTCTAATCCTAGCCCTACCTAACCTAACTTGTCCCTAACCCCAGCTCTAACTAACCTAACCATTCTTAATTCTATCCATACTTAGCCTAACCCATCTCTAACTCTAGTTCTACCTAACCTAACCCAAACAAACTCTTCAGTAAAGCTAAAACAATTGTGTATCTAGCTCAAAAAACATATATTAAGAAGTACAATAGAGTCCCCCCAGTACCCTGCTAGGATTAATGGAAATTGGGATTAACCGACTAATGAAAGAGCAAGCAGTAAGACTGGTAGACATACTGGAGCTAGTGATATACACTTGTATGTTGTGAAAATGGGAAGTTTTAAGAAAACAGGACAAGTGTTATAGAGATTGAGTCATTTCAGATTGCTTATCCTCACAGTTTTATCTTGTTGGCTTCTCACGTATTAAATTTTCACTAATTATTTTGGTTAAAATCCACCAGTGAAAATCACAAGTAGAAGCCAAGTTTCATCACAACGCCAATTATCACAATTTTTGGATGAAAGTTGGCAGTGGTTCAGGAGGAGTACTCCAGGCTGAGCATCTTGAGAGTGAGGAGGAGGGGCACCAAGGTTCCCAGGATGTTGGCTAATGGAGAAGGGCTTTAAACTATGTCATGATTTTTTTAAGGTTAATTTTCCTCTGTGTGTTATCTTTTGGTTTTAATTAAAATGTATGATTTTACTTTACTTTTTTTCTAAATAATTTTGATGAAGGGTAATTGTAAGATAGTTGATAAATAATACATATAATTTTTTTGGGATGTATTTATCTTTCTTTTTATTTTGTTTCACCATGTATATTTTTAATTTTGACTCATATTTTGGGATTTGCGTATCACGCAACCATCCCTTTCTTGTCATATCTGCCTAGCCTAACCCATTACGAAGTACAGTGAAAAAATCAGCAGTACAATTTGGATGGGCTAGGCTAAAATAACTGACTATACTACTATTGCCCAATTATACTAATTCTACATAAAAAACTATAATTTTCCAAAAATGTCCTTTCCAAAAGATGTTCAGATAGCAGAATAATTGTAAATGAATGTTACATTTTATTTTGAATCGTTTGATCTTTCTTCCAAACAAATAAGTAGTACTATTATACCTAGGTAGTAAGTAAATAAAAGGGATTTTGTTAATTAATATTGACAAAAGAAAAGTATCCATATAGTAAAGAGAGGAACCAGTGCTATGGTCATGAAAAAGGTAATGTTAACCTTCAACAACCCAAATATGGTGTCACAGATGAGAGTCAAAGCCACTTAACAATCTTTTTGTCATATCATCCCTCAATTATAGTAAAGAGAGGAACCAGTGCTATGGTCATGAAAAAGGTAATGTTAACCTTCAACAACCCAAATATGGTGTCACAGATGAGAGTCAAAGCCACTTAACAATCTTTTTGTCATATCATCCCTCAATTAAAAAATCGTGTGGCCAGGATTCAAACCCAGAACCACTAGCTTGTCAAATATGAATCAGACTTTGTTTTGTACTTTATTTATGATCTTGGGGTTTGACTCAACACAACTAAGTTAAAATATGGAAAAGAAAAGATCATCACGTACTGAAATTATTCAATTATTATTACTATGGTTATTAATTATAAAGGATGAAAGGCCAAAAAACCAACAACTTTAAGATATGATTTATTGCTCTTATGCATATAACACACAAAAAATGTTAGTATATATTAATAAATAATAAGCTTATGCACTAATATTAAAATTATTAGATTTTATTCAATAGTCAAATTTTGTATAAATTACTTTTTCCATAATTCAAAACTACCAGCAATCACAAGTATTTCTTTTTTAATTTTTCAGTAGTACTGTTTAACTATTTCAACCACTTTTGTTGTTTATTATACTGAATAATTGTTTCCCATAATTAAATTTATACTAAACGTTACAATTAGACCCACTGCACATGACAGACTCTCAATCGGCCGACATTTTAATCGGTCGATTATTCACCACAAAGATTTGTGCGAGTGTGTCAATCAATGCCTGCCTTATTCACTTCCATCATAAATTTATTTTTTTAACATATCGTTATAGTACGATTGCTTTCTGTTTTTGGTGTGTTTGTTACACAATAGTTTATACAGGACCCCCTACATGTATAATAAAAATCCAATTACCAAATTTTTTTGTCTAGAGATATCACATCTCATTCTAATTATAAATCCATTATATTGACCAAATTCTTTTTTCAATTAACTTAAGCTTTTTATGTAAGGTTTTGGTTGAAATGAAATCTAATAATAAAGTGAAAATATGTTTGATTTGTTGTTTTAATGCAGGGTCTTCAACCAATTATATTTTTATATATAATAATATATATGGCCAGTTTTATAATAGTTTAAAAAAATGGTTTGCCTTATCAGCTAAAGATTCAATAAGTTATATGATTAAAGGGAGGCAGATGGGTCAGATTGGCAGAGAAGCAAATGCGTATCAAGATCAAGGTCGATCGGTGGCCATCAGAGGTTCTGAATCGAAGAAGAGGGATCATAAACCACCCAACTAGGTGCACATTTGTAACATGTTTGTGTCCAGTATGTAGAAAAAGATTGCTCAATATGTCATAATTTAAGTTATTCCTTGGCTCCATATAGAGAGAGAGGACTGTGCTTGAACACAAAAGCGAGTTTTTGGGTTCACCATTTTTTGGAGAAAATGGCTGTTTTATAGTATATAGTACTTGGTAGATATCTTGTTTTGGGTTTATTGAGAGTAGTTGTATTTATTGGTATGAATATGTGGTGTGAGTGAGCCAATGGAGTTCTCCGCCACCCTAATTGAGTGACTGGTATATAAATAGGATAGACTCTGTTTATGGATGAATGGGATCTTTAATCTCTTAAAAACTGCATACATTGAGGGCTGAAATTACACTTTACTTCAGTAGCAAGACAGATAAGACCGCCGAGAAGATGTCCGACCCCGACTCGCCAATGTGGTCTCAATTGCTGTGATATATATGTATGTATGTGTATGTGCGGAATTGTGCTTATATAAATCAATCAATCAAGATTGCCTTTACAGAAGGAAATCCTTCAGTTAGATAAAATCATAACTATCATTCAAATTTGTTTCACTACTCCTACTATTAAACTACTAAACTCAATTCAGTGATAGTTAAGTTTACAAGCATAGGAAAAACAAAACAAAAAGCATGCACTACCTAAAGATGACTTGTTGCAAATATATAAAAGCTTAATTTTATTAGAACTTTTTAAATATATTGTATATTTTAATTAGGCTTATTTTCATGGAATTGATTACTTACCTTTATTTCATTTAATTAGCCAAAGATGGCATTAATTCCTATTTTATTTAGCTTTATAATGAAGTACGAGGGTGTATTATTAAACAAACTCATAACAAGAAGAGTAGAAAAACCTTGTAGTCCATTATTAACGTCGTTTCATCTAAATTTCATATGTTTATTGAATTTTTGTATTAAAAAAAAACACAAGAAAGGAAATATAAGGTGAAAAATATAAAAATAAAAATACTGCCATTAAGAATAACTTTATAGATATTGTAATATAATAACAATCAAAGAGTTAAATATTAATTCAATTAAGTGGCTGGAAACGTCAAAATTCTGAGTTTACGGCCCAAAAATCCTAGGCTCCATTGCAAACCTTGAACAAATGATAAAAAATAAGACTAGGTACTGCATTACCTAAAATAAGTAAATAAAAATTTGAGGCGCCGTAAAAGTTTAACCAAGGCCAAAAGGCTTCAGAGTATAATTCACAGGATGTTTTACGCCAAATATCAAATAATTCTTCAGACATAAAACTGATTGAAATGTAAAAAAAGGTCAAGAAAATGAATCAAGAGAATCCAAGCATATGCAGATGATGTCAATGAGTGGTGTCAGGGATGGAGAGTACAAATGAATCTGCCTAAATCCAACACTGTTTGCTTCACATACCATTGCAAACTATTCGACATGACTATAAATATAAATGGGACACTTGTACCAAATGGCAATACAATTCGATGTCTGGGGATATGGCTGGATGAGAAATTGATGTGGAGTGAGCATATAAAAAAAAGTTTCTGTAATCACGCAGTCACATGTATGCGTTGAAACGTACTTTAACAAGTCATGTCATTCCGCTACATAATAAGCGACTAAGTAAATAATGCTCATTCACCCATTCTGGCAATGTGCTCTTTGACCTCCGATTCCCAATAAAAAAGGTGAAAGTCTGCTAATGCAGCATGCAGCTAGCACGTTGCCACCAGAGAGAGCTCTGAGACGACTCAAAAAGAAAAGACATTCCAATTTACGTGCAGTAATATGAAAAAGTTCATTGTGCTTTTGCTTGTTATTTTTTATTAATTACATTTAAGACACTATATGTTAACTCAGCCAAATTATTTTTTTATCTAATTTATGTAATTGTTATTTAATTTATTTATTATTGGCTCTGTTACTATGCTGGGAACTGCTAATGGGCAGATATCCCAATATATGTCCAAAGTTGCATCGTATCATGCAAGCAACTACTATATATTATTGAAAACCAATACAACTTGTAGAACTAAGTACAAAAAGTTCATTTTAAAAAATATAAAAAATTGATTTATTTATTTTTATTGATAGTAAAAGGTTTTTTTTCTGGATGTTCTGACTTCTGATTAAGGATACTTTGCCACCTAGAGCAAACTAAGAGATGAAGTAAGACCATCTGCAAGTTTATTTCGACTAATTATTGGATTTTTTGAAGCCCGGGTAATAAAATATGCTCCCGCACCATATATTTTCCAAGAATGCAGTAGAATCTGTGAACAGTTGGTGCAGATGAGTTAGGCTGAGCCCTTATCGCCATAAAGTAGTGACCACAAGGTAGATAAGAAAGAACAAGGCAAAAAGCCGGCATACCATGGGTCCGATGAGAACATATAAGCTGTTTCTGTATTTGTTTATAGTTACTACTTGCTTGCAGAACTTAATTCTGTTGTATTTTGACCATCTTTAACAATTGAACTAACCAACTGATAAAAATAATAATTAAACATTTTGTAATTCTAATTGTAACAATAAAACTGTTCTCCTAAAACAGATTATAAGTGTATGTCCTAACCACGAGGACATTCTAAAGCCTGGCTCTGCATGTGGCATGAAAGCCTGTACAAACTAAAGTGCATCCCTCCAAATACCCTCTACCTAATCCTTCATTCCTACCAAACTAAACGATTCTTCACCAAGGATCGGCCTACTCCTACTATTGTCCTGTGGGAGCGGGAGTACCACCAGGCAGCGTTTTTGTACCTTTACCTCTTCTAAACTGCAGATATCCTTATTTCACCCTTCCTATCCTTGCTGACGACAGCTGTGCTATCCTCTGATCGCACAATTGCTTCGTAGGACCTCCTGTATCTCCTGCAAATAGCTGAATGGAGCAAAAATTGGCATATAAAGCTTAATGAAATCAAAAGCACCTGTGTATCATTTACCCTACGAAGCCAAACCCCTCATACAATATTTCTCAATAATACTCCCACCCCAAAAACAGACTCCATCCCCAACCTTGTCTTACCTGGAACTAACACACACCACTAAAACAACAATCATTCTGGACTACTCTACAAACTACTATCTGATCCATTATATTTCGTGGTCCGATTGACAAGCTTCTTTCAATTAATTAATCTTTATTTCAACCAACAACCAACCGCTAAACCTTCAAACATAAAAAAAGTATAGCTCTTGCAATCCGACGTCCTCAGAACCATAGTCTATGCTCCTTTCTGTCTTCACAATGACCTCAAAATCTCTCTCGCACAGAAAATAAACTCCAAAACATTTTCCACATTCCACAATAAATTCTCCTCTCACATCAATCCCTATCCAATTGAAACGACCCCAGACGACTGTAAAGATGACCTCACGACCTACTAAATGAGGATTAGTCCTTGCGTTTAATTGGTAGGACAACAGTTGTTAACTTCCCTCATGGCACATCTTTGCCATTTGTAAACATTGCAAATCCAGCTCATTACATAATGTAAATAAGATACAGACTGTAATAAATATAAAAATTATTTAAAAAAATAAAAAGCACTGAATAGTATGAATGAACTATCCAACTAGAATAATAAAGCTGGACGTGTTAATTAATCAAATAAATTTTTAAAAACTGTATGCAAAAGAAAACTAAGTAAGGAAGTAAGTAAAGCGAGAAAAAAAACAACACTGTGCACATGAAAACAAAAAGAGTGAATGCAACAAACTACAAGAAAGACATAAACAAGGGTGATAGGAAATACAAAAAAAAGAGAAAAAAAGGGTCATGTTCTATAGTTTTCACACAAGACGTACCTGTTCAACGTACAAGAGTTAGCCACTTCAATGTATGTAAAAGAATGACAATTTTCACCGTTTATGACTGGGCTGTCATTCGAAATATTTGAAGACGAGCCCTCTTTGACTGAAGCCTGCCTACGAATGTTACCACATCTTAAACAATCCGACCTTTCGGATGGATTCATAAACGTACAACTGTCACAACGCCACTGTAATACCGAAGCAATCGAACCCATTTCGTTATAATCATGGCTAGTTTTCAAACCTAATAACCCCCTTTTATATACTATATTATGTACGAGAGCGTTTATACATAGATATATTTGTATATCTACATATATATACACTTATAAATATATATATAAAATACGTGTGATAAGGAACAGCTGTTGGAGAAAAAACAATTTGACACTGTAATCTGTATTATATATCTAAGGTCTACGCTGACATGAAAAACTTGTCAACTCATTAAAGAAATCATCAATTATATTTTTAAACAATATATCCATGCAAATTAAGCAATTTAATAATTGTTTAATTATTGTTTTATAAGAATAATTAATTATTGTTATTAAAGTTGATATTCACTTTTTGTTTTTTGTCCTTGTTAAAAAGACCAAAGTGGTCTATTTATTGCTTAATCTTAACAATAAATTGTTTAAAACATATAAAAGGGATTGTTTAATAAAAAAAAAATTGACTGGAAGTGAAGAGGAAAATTTAGGAGGGGCACCTTACTAAATTTTGCCCGATCGGAAGCAATCCGGTTCAAACGTATTTTTTATTTATTCGATTTATTTTATATGTAGAAATAGGACTTTAAGCCTCCTTACTTGTAGATATTTAGAAATAAATTTAGTTTTATAAACAGTGAAATAGTAATAATAGCAAGACACGTCGGTGATTGTAACGGTTAATGCGATACTGCGCTTATCACTGTAAGGTGAAGGTCCCCGTGTTCGAATCCAGCGGCTCTGCATTCAACCCGACATACTTACAAATGAGTTTTTTTTTTCAAAAACACCGTCACCCCGGGAGTTGTTATGACCTCTGCTGTTGCAAACCCCCGAAAAAAAGTGGTGTTTAATACATTTCCTTGGAGGCATCCTTGTTGCAGTATTGGCATTGGTCGATGTCACAATTTGGCTTGCATTGTTGACATTTTAACATTGATGATTACAATTCTTGGGTTATATTTACTTGTAAACAATAATAATTAGCAAGTCAGTTGTGACTGAGTTAGTAGCTCTTTTTTGTTTATTTGCTGAAAATCTGTCAGTCGAATTGCCGCTGGGCATGACATTAAAGATTACAAAACAGTCCGAGGCCTCTTAACAGAATAATAAAAAAGTAAGAATCTAAGCTTTTTCAAAGATTACAGTGGCAAATCAAAATTTTTGGGAAATAATTAATAAATTTTACTGCCTGTTATTTAGAGTGAAGAGCCCTTTAATTGCTTAATAATAATTTTAATATTTTAATTACATTATCTAAATGCACAGATGGAAAATAGAAAGAGTCTTTAATAATTGGACTATTGGTAATAAGTTGGTTCACTTGAAATTATAACAGTAAAATTTATTATGTGCCTTAAATATTAACTATACATTTTTTCCACATTTGCATATAGCTATTATATTACAGCTTATAAAAACTTAGAAAAACTTTTTTGAATGAGATACAAAAACTGGTGACGGAAGGAAGAAATGACAAATAAAATTTTCTTTTCTATTTATTGAGTTGTATACATTTGAATATATGTACATGGTAAATAGGAAAAAGAAAAACAGCCGTAACAAATGTGATTGATGGGCTATTGAATGAGATCTCAATTTGAGATGTGTAAACTAGAATTCTACAAAACCTAAAAGATAAATTATTGTTGAAATTGAGCTAATTTTTTGGTTTTAAATATAAGATTTGTTGGAGCGTAACATTAAGACTTCGAATTTATTAAATAGATGACAAACCAATTGCTTTGATAAATCAATTTATCTTGCGTCTAATTTTAAATGCAACACTTCAATCTAAAATAAATAAATTGAGCATAAATGGTGTAAGTAATGTCAAAATGTCAAAGAATTCTTATTGTACATTAACTTTTACCATTTGTTGTACGCTCGCTTTCTTCTCACTGTTCATACCAGAGTTTTCATTAATTTTCATGGATTTTGCATTTTATATTGAATATACCTCACTTTAGTGTGGAATCACTGTCCTGGAATGTACATTAAGAAGAAAACAAGTGCAACATGCACATTCACTCTCATCCCCACAACATACCACTTACGATTACAACTGCAACTCCCAAGTCCATTTTTTTTATTTTACCATAACAGCATTATATTTTGAATTGCATTTCATAATAACTATATAGTTTTAAATGATAAAGTATCATTATAATAGGAGTTTTATTTATTTTAAGATTTTTGACTTGCTCTCTTGGCATAACTTAAATTTTCATACTCTAACAGTTTTGTATGTACACTTAAAACTGTATATTCATAATAAATGGGAAGTGCATTCTCATTGGGATTTTCTTTGAATAATATCTAAACAACCTTCGGTCATTTATTTCGTTTTGTAAGATCTTCTACTTGTTTTTTGTATTTTCCAACAAGCTCGGGGAGATCGTAAGCGATGGCGATGTCGAGCCTATTGATCGGACACCCCCTGAAATATGTACAAGTCGCAGACAACTGTTGGAATTCGTAAACGGGATTTAACCTAAAAAAGTCTCTGTAAACATCGGGGTCTGGCAAATCGTATCGGGAAATATTAGTCAGAGTGCTGAGTCCCTCGTAAATATGGTAGTTCTGTGGATGCTCGATTATCTCGTCGCTTATTTTCTTCTTGTTTCCAAAAAATGATTTATGGTTGTAGTATGTTGTGAGGTAGCAATCTACCATCTTTGCATGATTGCGAACACGTACCTTAAAATAAAAATTTATTTATTATACTTTACTTGTCATGGTAAAAATAAATATTTTTTTAACATCTTACTGCAAATCTTCTTGCACTGGCAATCTTGTTTTCTACCCTCTTGTTGATAGCTTCACGCAAATCTCTTAAAAATGCCCTCTCTTGTGCATATAAAAGCTTCGTTGGGGCTCCGGATTCATACGGCAATGACCACAGTGATGTCGAATACATTACTGGGGGCTCGGTTGAAGACATCAATGGTGAAATGTTCCAAATCAAAGTTCCTTGAACTCTCATTAGTTCTTCTGGGCGCACTTGATCAGCTTTATTCAAAATAATTCTGGTCTGTAACAAAGTTGTTGAAAGTTACAATTACAACACCATGGCCAGGCACTGCACCCGGAGGAGAAGTATCCTCTATATGTAGGATTAAGTTGCAAAGTTGGGCTTGGGCAGTAGGATGGTTCGAGAGCTTGGTATGGAACTTTTGGAGCCAGGAATCGGTTTATTCACAAAAGGAATGTTGTGAAGCTTTGACAATTTCTCCGAGGGCTTTTGGTTGAAAACATTCGATGCACTGGATATTGGATGGCTTGGTAGAACCAGTTCTATTCCATATGTCCAAAATGGTCACAGTAATGTCTTGTATAGTGTAAGTTTAGTGTAGAGTATAAAAACAGATTTTGGTCCTAAAAGTCATCATAACTGTCCAAGTCTTCTGTTAAACCTTGTATGGGGATTCCATGCCAGTCTGCTGTCTAGATATAGTCAGTCCTAAGAGACTTGAGTGGAAGTCAGTAGTTACTTGCAAGACTTTTTATTTTGCAATGTAAATGTTCAGTGTGTTTGTTTTTCTTTGATAAGTACAAGATGTTCTTTTGATTTAGTTGGTCACTTGGATTAGAAGACAACAATTAGTTAAATAGGTTCCTAGGATAGAGTAGTGTGTAGGAAACATGTACATGTAAAATAATACTTAATTTTAATCATACCTGCATTTCACGTCCTTTGAGCTGATCCAAAATAGCTTCACTTTCAGGACCAACATCAAGTTTCGAAGGGTCATAAACTAAAAATATAATGTCTGCTCTGTCGATAAACCATTGACAGGCATCATTAAATGGGAAAAGTCTTTCTACTTGCTTTCTAATTTCCAAAATGCCAGGGATTTCTACAATATTCACCTGAAAAATGGTTCATATTAATCAGAATGTTACAACAAATTCAATTTTTTTAATAAGAGACAAAGGTTGCTGAAGTCTGCTTGCATAAACTTAACAGGCAAACTATTACATTCATCAACATAAACATAATTATTTTTATATTATTATTTTTCAAAATGTGTGCTTTGCTCAATAAACCTTTAGTTTTTATATTTAGATTTATTTATGTTAAATGTCAATGATATCGAGTTTTTATTCTACTGTAAATTACAACTCACCTTCTCTAATAATGGATGGTTTAATTTAAGACCTCGTAGTCTGTCAAGCAAACCTTGACCAAACTTTTGAAGACCAGAGAATGTCCAATCAGCTGCTAGTTGTGTCCCATCAAGGACTTCTTCTCGTTCGCCCCACATTACAATGTTGAAGTATGCAGGAGATGGTTCAGCCCCTGATAGAAAAACCCATAAATCAATATTATTCTGTAGAAAATTATTAATTACAAATTGTAATTCAGTCGGTCGGTTTAACTTTTATTATTCATTTTAACATTCATCATTGTTTTGAACCATATGTTAATTTAATAATTACTATAAGTCACTAAGTATTTAAGAATACACTATCTTGAGAAATATAAAACCATGTATTTCATACCAGTCCGTAAGGCTGTTCTTTTGTATTCATTTTCAAGAAGATAATTAATAATAGTAGATTTTCCACCGCTCCATGGCCCCATGAAAAGTACAAGTGGCTTTGAAAATATTTCCGGATCTGGAAAAAAAGTTTATTTTGTAGAGTTGAAAAGTTATTAGTTTGTGTATAAACATACCACCAAAGTGTCTGTTACTTAAATCTCTGTATTTATACAGTATCTCCAATGGTTTTATAGCTGCATCATACAATTTTTTCAATTCTCTTAATGTATTGTCCGCAATTTTGCTCAATTGTCTCTCAGTTTCGGCTGTGTCGATATCTAATTGAAGAATTTGTGCCATGTGTTCACGGGATCTAAGATTTTCTGGAACTTCAATTTCCTAAACAAAACAGACAGTACTATATATTACAGAAAAATTGTTGTCATGTCTGATCACAGATCATCAAAGTAATGATAGTAAAAGAAGATCAGCAATGACCAGCTTCTTTATTTATAAATTGCTTTGTAAAAGTGATTGTTTCAAAACACAAACAAATCTTTAATGCATTATTAGAGATTGTGCATTGGCTGGGCTTGAAGCTGGAATTTCATCAAAGTTTTATGAATATTATAAGACAGTTCTGAGGTGACAGTGATTTGGATTGGCTCAGGGCTTACAGATGAGTTTGTCATTGCCTGTTGAGTAAAACAAGATCCACTCAGTCAAGCGTTGTTCACCCTGTTTAATAACACAACGAGAAAGAGCTGAAGTTTTGTATAAGACTTGGTAAGACAAAGGAATTACTTTATGCATGACCTGTTCTTGGTCGCATATAAACTAGAGGAGATACAAGTAAATATTAACCTCATTCAGTTAAAATACTGAAAAAAGATGTAAAAATTATTTTAAAATTCGCGATCCATTTGTTCAACATGCTTAAGCTGTACCTGAACCTGAACAGGTATGTAAGCCTAAAAAATGATACAGGCATAGATCTTAACGTGGCAATGAGGATCTTCAACTATATTGTCTATTTACCTGCATAATATTGTTCAACAAACTTTTTTTGCTCTCTTTCTTTTATTTTATTTCATGGATTGGGATAGGTTATGTTAGGAATGATCATATTAGGTAGGGTTATGGTAAGATGTTGGATCAGAATAGTCATATAGGTATGGGTTAGATAAGGAATGGCCAGATTAGGTATGTGTTATGTTAGGAATAATCAAATTAGGTAGGGTTAGGTTAGGAATGGCCAGATTAGGTACAGTTAGGCTTAGAAAGGTAGATTAGCTAGAGGGTTAGGTCAGGTTAGGAATGGTCATATTAAGTGTGGTTAAGGTCAGGTAAGGTTAGAAATACATAGTCATACTTTAGGAATGGCCAGATTAGGCAGGGTAAGTTAGGTTAGCTAGAAATTAGGTTAGAGTTGGAGACTACAGTTACATATCTATGATTCAATAGTTTTCCATGAAATGGAGAAATATACGAGTGCAAAGCATGATTTTTACAGAAAAAACATACCAGTTCTAGTTTATTGTTATTGCTTCAACTTTCTAATTGACAAAAATATTTAAAAAATAATTTGAAATAATATAGTAAAAATGCCTTACCATTGTGAGCTCTTCTTCTGGGGTTTCAGGTTCGGTTGATTTTTCACCTGGAGTGTTTATTATTATTTAATTCAGTTTAAAAATTATGCCACTGTTTGTAAAATAATACACATGTATATTTACCCTCAGTTTCAGCTTCACTTTTAGCTTCTTCTAGAAGAGTCGAGGTATTTTGTGGTTCATTTGTTTCTTCGTCTGCTTTAGGCAATGCTTCGGTAGGTTCGTCAAGAAACCCTTCAGCAGGCTGGTCATGAACAGTTTCTTCTGAGGTCTCAACTTGTTCGCTGGGCTCTTCTTTTAAGGCCTCTTCCATCGCTTGTTCTGCAGTTTCAGAAGAAACTTCTTCACTTAATTTCGTTTCAGCGGCACTTTCACTGATAACAGAAGGTTCGACAACTTTTTCTTCCTCCACTGTTTCAACACTTTCAACACTTGAGGCTGTTTCCACTGCATCCTCTTTCATTACTTCTTCGACACTTTCAGCCTCAGCAAAACCTTCTTCCACTGATTCTTTAGTTGCGTTTTCTTCGGATTCAAGTGGCACATCAGGCATATTTTCCTCTAAATTTTCTTCTTCCTGGGTGGAGGTTTCTTCAGCTGAATCTTTTGTTTGTTCATCCATATTTTCCAAGGATTCTACTTGTTCATCTTGACTTAGTGTTTCTTCTGTTTTATCCTGTTCTTCCTCATTCGATTCTTCAGCCATTACTGAGTCTGTTCCTTCTTCATGTTCCTCTGTTACTTCATCTGTTTTTTTGTTTTCAGTTTCTTCTTCTGTAGTTGGCGTTTCTGGTTGTTCTTTTAAATCCTGAGTCTCTTCAACAGAAGCATCCCCCTTTTCTACACTGGGCTCGTCAAGGTTTGGATCAACAGGTTCTTCACTGACTTCTTCTAAAGATTCACCTGCAGCATCACCCATTTCAGTCTCTTGCAATGTAACTTCACCTGCAGCCAAAGCACCAGCGTCCTCTTCAAGACTAGATTGTTCGCTGTCCACTTGTTCGACACTTGCTTGAACATCCTCTTCCTTTTGAGAATCATCTCCAGAGTTTTTTGTCAAGCTTTCAGTGGTTTCCCCAGTAAGTTCACCCGCATTTTCGAGGGAATCGCCCAGCTCCTCTTGGTGCTGGAAATTCAGAAACTTATAGAAAATCTAAAACCTCCTTAAACGTTAGGTAATTAAAAAAATATAATACTTGCTTCTAGGCCATCTTGTGTTTCCCCAGACTGTGGTGGTTCACCAACTTGATCTACCGGCGTCTGGCCAAATTCTAAAAACAAACAAAACTCTTCAGGCTGAGATGGTTTTAACAAAGATGATATTGCAAGAAGCTGAACAATGACAAGAAACTGCTGGTTACTCATTCAAAAAAGTTTTTCAATTTTGAAGGTTTTATCCACTACTTGTGGCCAATACTGAAATAGTAAGGCAAAAAAAAATTTAAAAAATAAATTTAAAAAAGAGGTTTTATCCATTATGATTTTGTTCCAGAATGGTTAGGTTTAGGTTATAAGGAATAATCTTTATGACTTCGCACACTGTGACCAATATTGGTCTATTGTGTACATTGTTTGCAGTTTTTGTTAAGCTTCAGGCTTTTTACTAGATCTCAAAGCATTGTTAAAGCCTCCCATGTCCTTCAGGCACTTTCAACACGACAGACAAGAATGCTACATCTACACGGAAAACAAACACTTTGAGTCCTGAAGATGATCTGAAAGATTGAAACGTTGGCACGATAAAGAAAATGTTTTTCTAAAACCTATGTCACACCAGACCGCATCTCACGATCTCCAAATAACCATTAGTTCTGCTATTAGTTCACTCCTACGGCCTGAACTTTAATAAATTGCTCAAAATTGAATAGGTATACTGCCAATTTTGTAGTATTTACTTTCCCTAGCATTATTATTTTAATTTTAGTATAAATTGCATTAAAATTTACTAAAAATTATTATGTTTTTTACTGAAGGAAAATTTCATTAAGGGATTTTGAAAAATAACAGGGTGTTAATGCCAACATTTTGTTTATTGGATAGAATAATTTTTTTAAAATAATTAATTACATGTATAATGTATTCTATTAGCTAACACTCTGTGCACCTGTTAGGCATACTGTTAATAAGGTTGTCACTAATTTCATAAGTACATTCACTTCATAAATGTTACAATGCTGCACTCAGTTCGCAGGTTAACTGGCTGCAAATGGTGATTGAAAAGCCTGGGATTGAGGTCTGGAGACAATGGGGGAAGGGGCAGATGGGAAATTCCCAGATTTTCTAAACAGTGATGAACTACTCTGCCTTTATGAGGTCTGGTATTATCATCCAGAAATCGAAAATCCCTGCCAATCAGATCCCTGTTTTGAGGGATGCATTTGTCGATAATTACTTGGACATAATGGACTGTGGTGAGGTTGCCTTCAACAATATGGAGTCCAGTTCGTCCAGTAGTGTAAATCCCAGCCTGGACCATTACACTGCTTCCTCCAAACTATACTGAAGGGAGCACGAACTGGGGCATTGTATGGCATCCCCTGTTCTCAGTTGACGCTTCAGCGCCTGCTATCACTATACAGATAAAAATGCAGACTCATCAGTACACTTAACCGCATTTCAATTGGTGCTCTCTTCTAGGCTCTCGCTGCACCAAATTCTCCTGATGTGCTGGTGGCGGGCTGTTGCTGCAGGTCGTCTTTAAAGGGTATCTTGTACTTCATTTAGGATCTGGCGGGCACTCTGGAAAGGGTTCTCTTTTGCAGGGATGACAATATTTCTATCCTCTCTTAGCATCATATTGCGCTGAAATCCACTATCCATCCTCCTATTGGAACTTCCAGTCTCTCGGAATCAGGCTAAAGCCCAGGAGACAACATTCTGAGAAATGCCAACTGCCTCTGCGATATCCACTTCCCAGTGGCTTTGATGTCTCATTCTCACAATAATATTGTGAACTTCTGGTTCAAGATGTTGCCTTTCCATGGTTAAAGAGAATTGAATTAAAACTGAGAAAAGGTGTTTGTTTACAAAATGAGTAATCTTCATGTTTACTTAATATGTTTAAGTAAATCCATTATTAAAAATGATGATTAACATTTGTTTGTTTTTGTTTTGTATTTTCTATTTTGTTTTATCCAACTAGCAAGAATATATCGGTTAATTTAATTAAAATTAATAGAATAAGAATAAATTACAAATCTCCCTATTCATTTTTGAGCAGTTTATTTTAGATCATCCTTTTCATAATAAATGCACCTAAGAACTGCACATATGGGCTGGCTAATTATATATGGAATAGCTCAATCAAGCCTCAATTATTGGTTTAGTGTAAAAAAACCTTTAATGAAGAAATTTGATGAGTTTTAGCCTAGCGGATGTTTCAAATTATAACTAACAGCAGCCTCTGGAATAAATCATCGGATCTATTTGGCAAGGTAGGACGATATAAATATCCTATGAGGAATATAATATTTAAGTATTTTACATACGAATATCGTGTAATAGAGGTGAAAAAACAGGAAAAACAAGGAAAAACTGACATTATTCTTTTATGTCTAGGAGTTTGAATGAATAATTTATTTTTATTTTGTTGGCAGCCCTGTTTAACCTGCCCATCACAATGATGTGGGAAGTATCATCTATGATGGAACGTAGAATGGTACAAATTATTTGAAATATTTATATAGTTTTGTAGTTTTAACTATTTATATAGTTTTATGTTTGTTAGAAAAATAATATGTTGCACGTTAACTACGATGATATGTTGTGGCGTGAGCGAAGGATCGTCATCCAGCCTTGGCAGTGAGAACGAAAATAACCCCGGGCAGTAGGACGGTTTTTGCAATTTGCGACCCGGCTGAATGCTATTCGTAAGAAATCTTTAGATAATCTCTTGTTTTATGCGATGCTCATCATCTTCGGAAAAGGTAGTACATTAGATTGAAAGTGATAATCCAAGACATTATTGGGCTTTATCGTTGCGAATGCCTTCATGGCCGGAGAATGTATGTAATTCGGTTTCGATTGAAACATCGCTCGACTTATAAAAGAGACTGGACTGAACAAAAATCGCCCAGACACGACACTCAAAACGGCGAAATACCTATAACGCGTCTAAACGAGAAATAATCCGTAACAGCCAAAAGTTCATCACCGTGGACGAAAGAAAAAAGAAAAAAACCTCACAATTATTTTTGGGGACCGTGCAATTTCAGGTATTTGTCGAGTATCGCCGTCTAAATATAGATAAGTAAAACTAGGCCGGTCCTAGTAAGTTTAGCCGACAGGTGGTCCGAAGGAAAATAAATCCAAGAGTGAGATCAACACCGTTCGAAGTGCAGGGTCTGTGAAACGAGAGAGGATCAATTATTGAAATTTAATATCAAACGTATAAATTATATACGTATAAACAAAATAAACACACGTCAAGCGCGGATACGCTCCTGAGAGACCGACGTAGCGGGCCTAGGCAGACCGGGATTAACAGAAAATACCCAAAATATTTAAAAAAATGTAATCTGGTCGTTACTTATATTTTTCTCTGCCTACCCAGGCCCGGGTGGTCTGTCAGAAGTAGTGAGCTTAGTCGGACCGGCATATAAGCCCACACTTAACTCACATCACCCTCGCAGTCCCACGAAAAAAAAAATGGCAAGGGTGGAAAACCTAATTTTTCAATTTTTGTTCGGCTCAAGGAGCTAATAATATTTAAATGTAAAATACATGATTGGCCTTACTAACTTGTGGCAGACAGACGGTCCAAATCAATCCCGTTCAAACAAAAACCACTAAACCTACGTCCATTGGAAACGTATGATATACACAAGGAGACGCTAGGAAAAGCTCATACATTCTCAGGAAACAAATTGCATGGAGACTAAACCTCTCCGGTATACAAGCAATATCAATAAAATTAGACACCAATTGGAAATGATAACTCACCATGAAACATCCTTTGCGACAACCAACCAAGTTTTCACAGGCTACGAAGTAGAAGAAAAAATCAGGTACAAATAACTGATATTCTGAAACCAGCGAATGAACCGGGTGAGGTTAATGCAAACCAAAATAATCAGTGAAACTCATAGGGAAGCACACTCGGTCTTTCAAGCTGAAATACAATTAATTAATTGGCTTGTGCCATAGAAAATCTTAAAAGAGGTTACACTTAACAAAAAAATGAGATGAGAGACAGATCTTCCCTAAAAGCATTAGCATGTACATCACATCCAAAATAATCTGTGAGAATGTTGAAAACCTTTAAAACCCGGAAAACATATCCCAACCACATCATTGGTGCACAAAGGAATTTTGGGTAATCAACAAGTTACCTGGGCTAAATCGGATATCAAGACCAATGCCCTGTCCGAGAATTGGAACAATTTCACACAAATAGAAATGGAATAATGGACGAACTCTAGAGATGCCAAACAAAGTAAACTCATGGTTAAAGAACCCTCGTCAAAATTAGCATACACACATTGCTATAACTAAGGGGAGTGACAGGTTTCCTGTCACTGGTATTTGAGAAAACACCTACACAACTTGGGTATATTCAACAACAAACGTGGTATTTGTAATTTATGTGATGAGGAGAGAGAAACTAAGTAGCTCAATGGAGACAAAGCCTAGGGTGCCATGATGACTTAGGAAAAAGGATTGTATCAACAGTTAATGACGTTCTGAAGTCCCTTACACAGCTCCTACACAGCAAGATCCTAATCCAGTGCCGCTACTGGCTGATCTAGGGTATAAGACTAGGCTGTACTGGAGATCGTCATTCAGAGTTAGTGTCAGTTCATCTGTTGAGATGGAAACAGGTGCTGAGATTGTGAGTCAATAATGACCAGAGTCAGTTGAAAAGGAGAGTTGGAGTTGTCAGAGGCTGAGTTCAGATGGAGTCAGATGTAGAGACTGCGAATCAGTGACGGTCATTGTTAGTTGGGATAGTCTACAGCTGTAAAACAACACCGGCACTTTTCAAGGCCTTAACCCGACCCCAGTCACTAAAATACCATATCGTTTACTTTACTATAAATTGTTTACGACCGGTCTATTTGTTTGTGTTACAAAGTGAAAAACAAACGTCCGTTGTATAGAGATTTACAATCGTTAAATTTCTAATTACTCTGATCTACTACGATGCTCAAGTTTATACGTGCTACTTGTGTTAAAAGTTTTCTGTACGATTAAACGTTTTGCCTGCTTTCACAACACACACGGTTTTTGTCACCACCTTTTTCAAAGCTTCAGGACGAGTGAAAAGATCGGACCCTATGATAATAAGGTTGTCTTCAAACAGCATTTCCTCAGGCTGTGAAACGAAACCGTCGGTCGTGAGGTTTCTTTATGATTTTCGCAAATCATGGATTACGTTAACCCTTTCTGAACTACTGACGTCTCAATACACGTACTTCCAGGCTAGTGTTGCAGGGAAACGGACATAGCGTAGAGGAAAGCTAATGCTTCTTGTGAATTATTGTTTCTTCATCAACCGGAGTTTCTGTCAGTGGAACTGCACAATATGTGAATCCTGAGGGTGTTGATCGGCTAATGAATCAGGTTTAAGCTGTGGTGGCAGTTATGCTACCAATAGGCGTCAACAATGCTTCTTACTTCCAAGCAGCTCTTAATGAACTGCAGCATCTTTCCATATAAACAGGAGCTCAAGTTGCTTAAAGTAGGCTTTTCGACGAGATCTCAAATCTGAAGAAGTAAACCCAAGCAACAAGCAAGGGTCCTCTTAACGCTCGACTCATCGCGCTTATAACTCACTCGACAGTGGCTGGCAGCCCTACGCTACCAACCAACATCGGCTACCACTTCCATCCTGCCTATCCAAATCCGCCACGCCACGTCAGTAGATTCAAGAGAACACCGGCATTTCTTATGGCCACTACATTACCCGGTCGTTGGAAAAAAAAAAATCCCAATAAGGAAACATGTCAAGTAAATAATTACTGTGGTGACGGCACATGGCTTAGTAAAGTTCGATAATGCTTCTTCCTTCTAACAGCAACCAATAAACACGCAGAACCCCTCTATTTAAGAAAAACGACCTGCTTAGTGTTTAGTCTAGACTCGTCGTCGATCAAGCTATAACATAAAACAATGTTTTGTCTGCCTGTGGCTTATTAATTCCACCTGTCACTACTACTTCGACAATGCTACTAAAACAGCAGCCAATTTACATGCAGCTCAAATTCTACTTTTTTCAGAGCTCAAGTCAGCTTTAAGCTATAGATCTAGTTCCATGGCCTGGCTAGTGGTTCTTTTATGTTATGTTGTGCATGTCACTGGACAATAAACCTGGACAAGGTAGTGGTCAGGTCTTGTTTGAGAAATGCAGGACTAATATGGCCAGGATGCAGGTGCAGACCAAGTTTCTTAAACTGGCTTCTGCTGCCAAATAGGTAATTATAGTTTGGACGACAGGTTCGTACACCGGAGCACTGCTATAACTTGGCCAAGATAGCCGGGGTCTATGGTCTGATCTTTTCCGAGGAAAGATCAGGTAATATGTTGAAGGGGAGTTCGTCCCTTATCCCTTCTTCTTATTTGAAAACAAATAACAGGTCAAGAATGTTATGTCGACAACTAGATGCACCTGGAGAATGGTCCTGTGCTTGATGTTATGTTTTGGGTGTTTAGGATGAGAACGCCCAATGAAAATTATCGTAGGAAGGTGTTTTTAAATATTTAATAATTATTGTAATAAATTTGTCGGGTGTATAAGTTGAGACACTTACCTTCTTGAGTGTCTTGTGTGCCAGCTCCTTGTAGTGCCTTTTCTATATAAGGCCTGCATTCTGATTCGGAGGGCCCGCTTTGAAATTGACTCAAAACACCCCCTAGAATAATATATTCGGGATTAAAAAACATTCCACTAGTTCTCTTAACAATAAACAAAAAATATATAATTTTTCGAAAAAAAAGTTTTATTTTCATTTTATAAAGTAACAAGCAAATTTTGAAATCAGGCCAGTTTCATCTAAAATTAAGGCCAACTTGTAGGTTGTATTTAAAAACAATCTTATTTTTCGTGACCTTATTTACGAAAATAACTTTTTTCTTCTACTTTAAAATTTTTCGTTTCTTTAATTTTCAAAAACCCTTGGCTGAATTGAGTGGAGTACAAGGAAAAAAAGACGGAAATAAACCAGAAGCTCGATGCAGTGACTGATAATGAACTAGAAATATTCATAGCGACACTTTGTGGAAGGTTAAATTAATTTTATTATAAACCAAAAGATTTAAGTTTAAAAAAATTTCAATATTTTTATTGTTTTCTTTTTTTCAATACCAAGCGTGTAAATTTTTATAAGCATTAATGCAGCTAGAAAAGGAGAGAGAGAGAGGACAATGCTTGGTGCTCTTGCCCGATTCGACTCGAACCAGGCTTGCTGAAGATTTTCAAGTCGAATTTAAAAAAAAAATTGAGGGAAAACTTTGGGTTTTGTAAAGAAAAAAATTTAAAACAGGAATAAATTATGCAAATGTATTTATACACTGCTTGAAGCGGGTCAGCTATTCTTATTGCACGGGGACACGTTTTTTGTTTTTGTTTTATTTCAAACCAAATTTTATTAGACATTTTGAAAAATCTTAAGGTGGGATTTTGCAAAAATAAATGTCTTCCACTCGATCAACAGCCTTTTAGTTTAATTAAACCTTTACATTATTATTATTTTTTTATTTTTTAGCACGTTTACTTAAATAGGGGTAAAAGTTCACGAGAATTTAAACACAAACTAATGGTGAATTTTTAAAGAAAAAGCGTAATCCTTATTAAGGAAATTTGGAAAAATAACCCCCTTCCCCCATTTAAAAAACAAAACATTTTTTTAATTATATAAAAATTTAAAAAAATCAAAAATTTAACATACAGAAAAAATATTAACGAGTTATAGACTTATAAGAATTGTTAAATTCAATAGGTCAAAATTTACCGAATGCTGAAGAGATGACCAGAGAGATGAAGAAGATGGTTCGAGGAGTCATCTCGCAGCGGCGACTGCTCTAGGCCGCAGACGAAAATACACGAGATAGAGCCCCCAGTCGGACGGAAATAACTCTCCCCCTTCCCTTCTGGCCGCGAATTTTTATTTCTTCTCTGTACAAATTAATAATTCGCTCGAGTTCGTACGCATTTGCGTAAACCGCACTAGTGGACGCAAAGTCGTAGCCAGTCTGGTAGGACGATATATCTTATCCATCAAGGCAGTTCCAATCCAGACCCTTCTTAACTACGATTAACAGGAAATGAAACGAAAAAGAACGTGTAGATACCGGAACATAAATATACCAAAGGGTACAAGACCTTGAGACAAAAGAGAATTATACAACTTTCTCTCTACTTATTATATGTTTAAATGCTGAGAACAATTAGACGACTAAGGATATTATGGTGACTGCCTGTGGTTAACTTGAGTTTTCACTAGGTGTCAACAATGCTTCAGACTTCCAACCAGCAGCCAATGAACATACAGCACCCCGCTATAAAGCAGAAGCTCACCTGCTTAGTGCTTTGAATAAACTTGTCACCTAACAAGCTATCACTTAAAAGGGTGTGGTTAGTAACTACCTACTAGCTTAGTTAAGTTTCCACCTGGCATCACCTCTACTTCAATGATGATGTTCGAAATGCAAGCAGTAGCCAATGATTATGCAGCACCTCTCTTTATTGCTTAGACTAGACTCATCGATTAACAAGCTATAACCAAAAAGAGTGTGGTGACTACCTGTGGCTTACTAAAACTTCCAATTATTTTGTTGCAAATATATTTTGTGTAGGTATTCTCCTTGGACATTTGGAAATTCGGGGAGTGTATACTATGTCTTTCAACATATACTGCATAGCCTGTTCTACTTATTTGTCTGTGAAATCAAGGGCAAAAGGAACAGAACCTCTCGGATATCGGTAAGCTGATCCAAGTTGATGACGAGGAATTCCATCCAATTCTGAATGAGCTTAAAAGATCTTTAGTGACTGCCTGTGTATTATTTAAGTTTTCACCTGGCGGCACCTCTTCTTCAACAACAGTTTTGAATTCTAAGCAGTAGTTAATGATCATGCAGCACCTTTTTATATAAGGAGAAGCTGAACTTGCTTAGTAATTAGACTTGACTCGTTGTAGAACCTATAACCTAAAAGAATGTGGTGATTACCTGCGGCTTACTTAAATTTCCACTTGGCGTCACCTCTATTTCAATGAAGCTTCCGAATTCCAAGCAGTAGCCAAATGTACATGCAGTGCCCATCTATATAAGCAGGGATTCAACCTGCTTAGTGCTTAGACTAGACTCGTCGACTAACAAGCTACAACCAAAAAGAGTGTGGTGACTACCTGTGGCTTAAGTTTCCTCCTGGCGTCGATTCTATCTCAACGTTGGCTATCAAATTGCAAGCAGTAGCAAATAATGCATGCAGTACCTTTCTATATAAGCAGAAGCTCAACCTGCTTAGTGTTTAGACTAGACTTGTCGACTAACAAGATATAACCTAAAAGAGATTGGTGACTACCTGTGACTTAATTAAATTTCCACCTGGAGTCGCCTCCACTTCAACAATGGCATTCTGTGAACATATACTGCATTACCTGTTCTACTTATTAGTCTGTGAAATCAAGGACAGAAGGAACAGAAGCTCTCATGTATCAGTAACCATCAGCTGATCCAAGTTGAAGACAAGGGATTGCATTTAATTCTGAATGAGGTTAAAAGATTTCTAGTGACTGCCTGTGTATTATTTAAGTTTTCACCTGGTGGCACCTCTTCTTCAACAACAGTTTTGAATTCCAAGCAGTAGTTAATGATCATGCAGTGCCCATCTATATAATTAGGGACTCAACTTAATTATTGCTTAGACTAGACTTGTCGACTAACAAGCTATAACCAAAAAGAGCGTGGTGACTACCAGTGGCTTAAGTTTCCACCTGGCGTCAATTCTACCTCAATGTTGGCTATCAAATTGCAAGCAGTAGCAAATGATCATGCAGTACCTTTCTATGTAAGCCGAAGCTCAACCTGCTTAGTGCTTAGACTAGACTTGTTGAAGATCAAACTATTGCCTAAAAGACAGTCTGCTTGTACAAGCTGTAAACTGGAGGCAAGAGCACTATGACCGTCCGTGTTATCTAAGTGCCAACACTACACCGAGTTTCATAGTTAATTGGTTGTGGATAATAGACACTTCTTTTTTATTGTTGAAAAATAAAAAATATATTTTAATTTTTAAAAAAACCTTTTACAACTTACAAAATCACAAATTTTGGATAATCTTTGGATAAATTGCAATGCCCTTTTTCTCTTACCATTCTTGTGTTCCTAAAATTCTAATTTCCTTTATGCCAAGGGTGTCATACATAGCAATTATACTTTTTTTTAAAACTGGAACTTGACTTTTTTTTACTGGAAACGTTCTCTCACTGGTTTCAATAACTGATCCAAGTACAAAAAAAATTAAATTATATGAAAGAGAACTTCCATTTAATGTAACTATGCACAAACAGCAAGCTATTTAAACAATTTATACAAAACAACTCTTCAATTATATGCATCCAGGTTGTAAAGTCCACATCCTTTTTCGATAATTCAATTTTATCCCTCTTTGCTTGAAGCAAAGTTTTTTAGTGTAAGCTAAGTAATGAAAACCATTAAAATAAAACATTTTATACATCTAGTCTTCCCTGTATGACTAGGGGCTCATATCACCATTCATAAATTACAAACGTAGATTACAAAAATAATATATAAAAAAAAGTATTTTAAATTTGTACACTGAGAAATATATACGACAACACTAATCCCAGTTTAAATACAACAATAAGTTGTTAAATAATACATCAACTATAAATTTTATTGTGTTAAAAAGAAGAGTTTTTAATAATGACATGATTTCGAACATGAATTTTAGACAGAATATAAGAAAAATAAAAACTATCAACTTAATACACAAAGAAATGAAATATGATATAAATGCTGACTATTTTCTAACCAACAAGTATGGTATAATATATCGAATCCCCCCCCCCCAAGTGTTAACAAGTAAATGGTCATAATTGGAACTTAATTTTTATTCATGTTTAAAGAGACCACATGTAAAAATACATTTGTTGCCATTTAGGCAGGTAAGCTGCTAACTGATTGATCAACCACCCAAAGCATGGAAGTGATCGTCTCAGTCCGATGAAGAAAATATCGATCGTCTGCTTTGAAATCCTGTCATACAGGGGCGAACGCAAAATGTACAGAAGCAAACGCATATAGCGGTAGAATATTTGCCATTCTTGATCCGAATTCTTTAACTTTGCAGAAGGATGAAATTGAAAAATTGACAAACTGAAAAAGAAAATCAATAAATCACACAATTTCGTCAAAAATCATTTTTCTTAAATAAAGATTGTATCCACTTACCTCGCAGCATCCATGGTTAAAGAAAGAAACCAAGGTTTATAACTTCTGGACCCCCATTTCCGTAAGGCTAGTAAATGTACCACTGGTTTCAGAATAAAAATGATCTAAAAATAAATCACCATTAATGATCACATTGATTAATTTTACCATTTTACGTTTTTACCTCAGCTAATTTCTGAACATGATTAAATTGTAAAGTCCTTTCATCGAGTTCAGGTCCTGGCAATGCTTTCAGATATTCTTCTGCAATATAAGGTCCTAAAAGAAAAATTTAATGAAAACTGCAAGTTGTAACCAACCATAAGTTGATAAAATCGGCACAAATTGTTTTTAAATGCTAATACAGCAGAACCTAGATGGGACTGCAGTGGACGAGTAGTTCATGTGTCAAGACTTGTATTTGCCACACTAGCGTAATTCTGGGTTTAAAAAATCATGGCACAGCCCACGGAGTTTTAAATTGATAATTTGTGAAAGGTTATTGTCAAGTGGTTCTAACCCATCTCTGTGACACCTGACGGGAAGTTGAAAGTTAAACTTATTATATAATATATAGATTATATAATATATATTTTCAAATTATATATATATATTTTAAACCGTAGAACCCAATTATTCTGGGACAACTAACCAGAGAATTGATGCTGCATGTTGGCTTGCATGACAGTGAACTCATGCTCAACTGGCGTTGAGTCACTTGTGTCTGTCTGGTTTGATGAACTACTCAAACACATTTTGGCATTGTGCCATCTTTGCAAGGTTTAGCATAACCAGGATATTCTAAGGTTTTTATTTCTTTATGTGTGAATTATGTGTTCTGTTCTGCCTTGTTTTCGTGAATCTTCCTCTACCTATTTGGGGTATTGCCAAATAAAAATGTAGGTAATGTTAATCTATGTACGTATGCATAATAAATTACATAGTTGTTTCTTATTTAAAATAATATTTTTTACACGTTTACTCTTAATTAACCTTTATGTAAAGGTTTTGGATCTCCCACTCTCATAATTTTCTCCACTTCACAGAAAAACCTTTAAAATGTTTACTTTTTGTAAAGGATGGTTCTACTCACAGATTTATTTCAATTATCCGGATTTCAAGCATTGAACCGTTATCATCAAGTTGAAGGAGTTTCAACCACGTCTCTCAACATGAAATGCAAGAGTGGACCCACCGCCAATGCGATGTTCCAATGAGAAGCTGGTTTTTGATGCCACTCAGTTTTGAACACAAATTAAATAACATAATTATTGGAAGGTCGTGAGATGCAGTATGGTGTGACGTAAGTTTACAAAATCATTTACTTTATCGTGCCAATGTTTCGATCTTTATTGAGATCATCTTCAGGGCCTGTGATTTATAAACATTGTTTAAATTATACAAATACATGTAAGATGTGAAAAAATTTATTTATTCAATGATAGAAATTTTAAACTTATACAAAGTATTTATACTGTGTGTCGTGTATGCCAGTGAGATATTAATGATTATTTGGAGGTCATGAGATGCGGTCTGGTGTGACGTATTAATGAGTACGTGGGTCGTGATATATTAATGTTAATAAAATAAGTTGGATTTTGAAGGAGTGGGGAAGGAATTAGGGATAGAAATCCATTTTTCTATGAGGAGTCAGCTTCTTTGAGGTGAAAGGAGCGGTCAATTGGAAAAAATGGGTAATGGTTCGGCCTGATTAACCTTTTAGGATTATATAGATGGGCATAAATAGGGAAAGGAGAGACAAATTGTTGAAGTTACACCAGACTGCATCTCACAATCTCCAACTAATCATTAACTAATGGTCATTAAACACCACACACTTAAATAACATACTCACTCCACCTTTATCATTTCTAAACATTGTATATGTAAATTAACCCTACCCAATCAAACCAGTCTCTAACCTTAACCAAGCTTGACTATTCCCAACCTAATCCTAACCCTGACCAACCCAACCTGTCCTAACCTGCCTAACCCTTACCTAGCTTAACTATTTCCAACCTAACACTAACCTTATCCAACCCCACCTATCCCTGGCCTAACCCTAACCTAAATGGAAAAACTCAGTTTTTCTTTCCTTATCGAATTATTTTGTTTTCTAAGTGGTGTTTGACTATTTAAGCCGGGGACACACTGTTTGGACGGGGTGGGTTGGGTTGGGATGTGTTATAGTGGGACGTAGATATATTGCTCTGATGCATTCAGACAAAGAAAGGCATTCTGAATCGAAGAAGTAACAAGAGGTTTGTTATTTATTTTTATTATAATTGTTAATTCAGTAATAGTTTATTTTATTAGTTATAGTTTAAATAAGTTAATTATATTAAAATGCATCATGACCTCAAGCTCAGATAAATTTGGGGGAAAAATGGAACGTGCTGTGGCTGTTGTTCTTACTACAACCCAAAACAAAAGACAAATTTGGGTGCATGAAATAAATTAAAATATAGAGACCTTTGGCGAGTATCATACTTTAATAAACCATTCTTTAATGGACCAGGTTAGGACCAATTCCGGATTGTTGAAAACAACTAATTGTGAGTAGGAAATTTTTTTTAAAAAAGATTAACTGAAGCCTATCCTTATGCCTAACCATACCCAACAAAATCTCAACCTGTTCCTATATCTAACCTTATCCAACAGTGGTCCTAACACTGTCTAGCCTAGCCTTTTTCTAATGATCTGGGATAATGGAGGTTCTACTGTACTCCTATAAGACGGCCAACAGAGCTTACCCAATTAATAATGAACAAAATCGTCAAATTAGGTTATCTAACTTAAGGTTTTCATACCAATCAGAAAGAGTGAGCAGGCGTCAATATTTCAGGAGTTTAACAGACATCTTCAAATAAACTAAAAATCTGATTCTCAATTATATTCAATATTTTCATTTTTCAGGTAACTTGAACCCCTTTCACAACTTTTAACAACATATTTCAATGGCATAATAAAATTAACATTGTATGAGATACAGGGGACTTTATGGAAAAAAAATCATGTCCTCTTGTAGTAATGAGATCTGTTCTAGGGAGACCCTGTGTTAAACCAAAAATAAATCATCCAGAAGGAAGAAATGTAATACTGACAATGTACAAAATACATAGAGATTTTATTGGCGTACAATTTCAATTTTAAATTCATTAAAGGAAGGATTATTGTGTTTAGTTAGAAAGAATGACCTATTTAATATTTGTATATTTAATATCAATTAATATTTGGGTCTATATAATATTTGTCTTGAAATGAATCTATTGTAAGTAATAACCAGTACTGGAAATGTCAAAAGATGCTTCATAAATATGTATTGATAATAAATGAATAAACATAATATAAATTAGACTTTTATATATTTCATACGGCTTCATCAAACCCCATAAATAAACACACAGTAATACTGTATAGCACATACCTTCAGTAACTCTACGAATGGTTTTTCCTGACTTCAAGGTAAAAAACGCACTTGAAGGGAGAAGTTCTAATTTCTCAATTGCATTCCTTGACAGCGGTAAAACAGGTGGATTAGGTAAAAGGCCTGTTTTTGTTTGATGTAGCAATATTAGCCTTCCGGCGGTTCTGAAAAAGAAAATTTACATGTTTGTTCGCTTTAAGAAAATAAGAATTTTGAAAAATTGTTCAAACATTACTTCAAGGTTTGAATAGTAGAAATTATAGCCCATTTTCCTTCTTTGCTCAATTTCTGGTCTGCAGTGATTTCAAGACTGACTTCTAGATATTCTATCACAGTAAGAAACAGTTTCCAAAAGTATCCTGGCTTTGTTGAAGGATGAAAAGGGATCTTTTTGACATGCACATAAGCATGGTCGTTCAAAAGTGAATACAATCGAGACAGCGAGTAGAGCACTTCTACAACAGTTGTGTCATTCAGTTTACCTGTGAAAATAATTTTGTTAAATACTACAATTTAAGTACAAACAATTTCTATTAAATATTTTGAACTGTAGTCAGTGACTGTCGATTCCCTGAAAATCTATCTCAGACAACCCTGTCCTATAAGTCCTCCTGAATCTACCACCAAAACATATCTTCAACTACGGACAGGCACCAATAGCCTACCCACACAAAAACAACAATTATTCAGGAGGAACAAGGCACAGGACAAAGGCCTGACACCTTCAACAACCTACCGGACAAGGTTCTAAGGATGCCTATCAAAAATAACCAATAGAGCAGTTTGGGAGAGGAATCCCAGTCAATGCAGACTGTAGTTATTAGACACAGCTCCAAGAATCAGTATGGGTCTAGAGCTGGTACAGCTCTTTCAGATGCCAGTCTTTCAGATGGAGCTGGCTATTGAACACTATGCCAGGGAGATCAAAAGGCTGGGTATTACTAGCAAAAGAATAGTCATAAAAAAAACAGCCAGACGGCACTAAAGGCAACTACCTCATTGGTAGTAAGAAAAATTAAACACCGTCCAAACGTGGTGTCTTTCTCAAAGAAGTGACCACAAGTGCCCCTGAAATTGCACGTATTCTGATTATTTCAGTTACTCCCCAAACAGTAGGAAATACTATTAAAATACAAGGCATGCACAGACGCAATCGCAGAAAGCCTCTATCTACATAGGCAAGAAGAACAGGGAAAAGCTCCACCAGTTTGCTAAAGGGCACTTAAAAAAGCCTGATGAATTTGAGGACTGTTATTTTCGCCGAAAAGAGGAGATTTAATGTCTCTGTGTTAGATATAAGAAAGAAAGTGGGGCGTAAATCAAGGGAACACTTGGAATTAAAGAATACACTACTAACAATTAAATGACATGAGGGTGGTTTGGGGCTCTAATTTAATAGGAATAAATTGCCTTTAACAGAGTCACATCCCTGATACACATCTAGAATTAACTACTGTTATTAATGATAACTGCATCCTTTCTGATTATCAATCGCTGGGTTGCTTACTTCTACCTCCACAATGACATTTTTCTTGGACATACAACAGTTTGGGAACTTACCATGTAAAAACCCAACACATTTTCCGATGTAAATAGGAAATTGGCTATGATAAGATTGGGATGGTTTTTATTAAAATGTCGCTCCAATGTGATCTTTCCAAAACAAAAAGGGAATAACATAAAAAGTCTGTATGCACTAATAGAACGTCCCATTAATTATACACTTTTTTAAATATGACATCCTGATTCATATCTAAAATTATAGGGGAGTTGGTAATTTACACAAAATCGATGAGATCATCGCTTAATATGTCTACATGATGTTCTAAAGCAGAATTTAAAGGAAAGCACTATTAAATTGGGTATAGAAAGAACTTTCTGTATCCAGATAGACAATGACCCCAAGCTCAAGAATAGCCTCTATATAATACACCACCAGACACCAACCCAACTGCCTGATTTAAACCCTATCAAGGAGCACTTGTGGGATCATAAAGCAGCTTAAAAAAAAAAGACGATTAAAAACAAACGAAGATCTAAAGAATATATTTTACAGTAGTGGACTAACACATCCCCGTGTATATGTATATAAGAAACCTTGAAATTCAGAGAATATACAAGGGTTTATCAATTATAAATGGGATTAATTTTAAAAAATCTAACTTTATTTAATTAAGCTTATAAAAATTAATTACTACATATTCTCCTGCCCTAGAAATATATTGAGTTGACCTCATATCTTCAGATGGGCATTATTTCATATGGGGATGCTCATTAGAAAGGTTTGCCTCGTGCTGTATGGATCCTCAGGTGGTATTGTACAGTGGGTCATTGATGTTCTTCCTTGGACGCCTGCACCGAGTGGTTGTTGTGTGAAGAAGATCACACATACAAGACATAATCAAAGAAAAAGTAGTGCTATTTAACCCCCCTCCCCATTGGTGAGAGATTCTTGCTAATACAGGATAATGCCAGGCCCCATACAGCACTTATTGTGGATGATTACCAGAATGAGGTTGGAACTGACTGCTTGATGCGGCCAGCTCAAATTCCAACTTTGAACCCAATTGAACACATCTGGGGCCAACTTAAATGGTGAGCATGATGTCGAAACCCAGCTTCTAACACCCTAGAAGAGTTGGAAACGGCTGTCCTTGATAAATGGGAAAGAATTCCTCAGGATTTTACCAGAAATATTTTCAAAGACAAAGGCGTTTAACAGAGTGATTCGTACCAGTAGTGGAAATATTCAGTATTAAAAGGGACAAAAAAGTTGTGTCATTTACATTTTTATTTGTTTTTTAATTTTTTGTTCTTCTCATTTTTTGTTTTTTTAATTAGGTAAAAAACATTTTCTTTTTAAATGTCTTGTTTTTACAACCAAACCTATTTTGGTGTGCAAAATATGAATAAACTTAAATATATTTAAATTTAAGTGTGTGGTGTTTAATGACCGTTATTTAATGATTATTTGGAGGTTGTGAGATGTGATCTGGTGTGACGTAGGTTTTAGAAAAACATTTTCTTTAACGTGCCAATGTTTCGATCTTTATTGACATCATCTTCAGAGCCTGGGATTTATAAACATGCTTAAATTTTACAAATACATGTAGGATGTGAAAAAAATGAATTTATACAATGCTAAAAAATATTAGATTAAAAAAATGAATTTATGCAATGCTAGAAAATTTTAGATAAAAAAAAATGAATTTATACAATGCTAGAAAATTTTAGATTCACTCAAAGTTATGTTTTCCATGTAGTGTGTCAATCTTGTCTGTCGTTGGATTTTGAAGGGGTGGGGAAGGAAGTCGGGATACATTTAAATTTAAGAGTGGTATATTAATTTTGGTCATCAGTGTATTATATAAAAAAATAAATTATTAATTTAAATTTATAAATTAATTATAAATAAACAATATATTTCATCAAATATGATACAATTTTCTCGTAATTTCTGAACTGATGGTGTCTTACAGCTGTAATTCTCCAATAAGTGTATAGCTTGGACCAAAGTTATTTTTTGTGTTCCATGGCTTAACCTAGAGCCATCTTTTATTAATTTTCGCCTTTTTTTATTTTTTTTAAATATACGCCCCCACTAACATTTTTGAGAAAACCAGTCCTGTTTATATTTGATACACCCTCGTACTTTGGACAAAGACTGATGATTGTTTATAAGCAAACAATTCTCAGACAGTTGAGCCGTGCGGCTCAAAACATCAAGATAGCCCTCATGGTACGCTGTTTCTAGGAAAAGATTCTACCTTCCTATGTAATGGTGTACATGTGTCTCACGTCCACATACATTGGAGCAAAACTGGGCACGACTCAAAAGGCCTAGATCCCCCGCAGTGTAATTTTGTTAAAATGATTAGGTTCATACAATCAAGTTGATTCTTAAAGGCTTAAGACACATCATGAAACTCACCTGATAAGAGAAACGAGCTCCAACTGGTTAAGGATTCGATGGAAGTTACTATGTTGGCGTGGTCAACAACCCAGTTGCAGTATCTATCGTAATAATATAAGACATACTCCAAGCGTCGTTCCATTGTGTCCATTTTTTTCAAAGAGCTACACTATCAAAACACAGATGATTCACCACCCATACGAAGTAATATCGAGTGGAGATTAGAAAATCATCCAAAAAAAGAGGATAACTATAAAAGGTCAGAGGGTGGTCTTTTTTCGAAAAACCAAAAAACAACAGTCATACGATCTATACTACTCGTGTTACGGCCGTTTTACGGTTTTGAAACAAGTGACAAAAAGGGAGGTTATACGTCTAATACGTACTGACATGTGACTGTTCATTTTTATGACGTCATACACAAAACTGGTTAAAATGAATCAATAATTTGTCATCTTTTTATCTTGGCCCGTTTGTTCTCGCTGTTTTCCAAAACCACCTTTGGGTTTGCAAATATAAACAGGGAACAGTCATATGAAATCCCAAACGGTTTTCAAGAATAATTCTCATATAGGGCGGCATTTCTACACGCTCTCTATGTAGAGCCAAAGTTTTTTTAATTAGTTTATTTAAAAAAATTAGTTTTGTTCTCTGTTTTGCAGAAAAACATTGAATCATGAATTTTCGATGGAATTTAACCTAACCTGGTCATTCCTAACCTAACCTATGCACATTCCACAATAACTTCCAATCGATTTTTTTCCATTTTAGCTTTGGAAAGAAATGGGTAAATTTAAAAAGAGGATTTCATATCCACAGTACATTTGACAATGATAGGTCCTGATAAAGTACGCCTGCAGACATCAACCTTGATTTCAAAGGTAGTAATAAAAACAGCCTCTTTATAACCTTGCTCACCACAACCAATATTGGTCCATTGATTCATCCAGTACATCTTCATCAGCAAGAGCTCGTCCTTAAGCTTAAGGAATGTTACAAGAACACAAAGTGTTGAGTGTATCCTTCAGTCCTTGGCTTTTCCTCTCAGCCTGCATACACTGTCATATCAAAATAGGGCATGCTCTACTGTTTCTTTTACTGGGGGCCAATGGCACACTAGTTTCTGGGCCATACAAGATGGCTACCGCCCTTAACTATAAAGTCTTCGTCCACCAAATACCATGGCCTCTTGTGATTTTTTTTTTTTTTTTTCGTTATGATCTATGCATATTAGCCATGGTGACAATTCTTATATGTGTTCAAATTGGGGGGTTATCGTGAAAAAAGGGCCAGAGGCGACGGTGGGAATCGAACCCACGGCCGCGGCGTGAGTCTCTCATGCTAACCACTCGGCTACCGCGGTCCCCCAGAGTATTCTTGAGTATTGTCGTTTTGTATCTCTGGGTCATGTGCACAACGAAATGCGTTAACACACCTTAAAAGAACATTTGTTCTAACTAGGTAAACATGAATTGCTACATCAACTCAAAGAAATTAGATTCACAAGGCAAGACATTAACAAAATAGGAACATTAGAACAAAGTGAAAAAATATAAACATTATTCTATCTGAAAAGGTAAATTAGCCAAAAAAAATTTGCAGATCTTAATCAGTTTTATTTCAACTAAGGTATACCGTAATATAACTAAAAAAATAATAATAATAAAATAAAACTATTATTGTACTAAACAGATTATTATTATTTTTTAATCCATCAATTTTAATCACTTCACAGCGCTGTCATTATTTTTATTATTTTTTTAAATGTGAGAAATTAATGACTAAACATTTAACATTTATAGTTGGCCATTGAAGCATACATATAACAATGGTAGAACTTTACAACGAAAAATATTAACAAAATGACTTATCAAGTGGAAGTAACTGAAAATTAAATTTTCTATAACAGATTTTTTACATTTCTTTGTAAGTGTCAGAGTGTACATTTACATTAAAGGCTTTGCAGACAATCAAATATTTTTATGGGTATAATGTTAACACCTTTAATATTATAATTATTAAAAAAAGAAAATAGAAAAAGGAGTTAACATTAAAATTAAGAATAAATGGCATTCAGTTTATATGCTTGCTATTACAATTTACTAACATAACATACAATTTTTTTACTTTTAAGCGTAGCCAAATAAAATGTATATTTTATGTGAATAATTATCAAAAATACACGTTTACAAATTACAGTCACACACTCTCGCTCATCTGTTATAACACAATATAAAATCATATACGGTTATTGTCAATTTAACCAACAATGTGTACCTAATTGTTAAATTATTCTTCATATTTTGTATACAAAATAAAGTGACGGTAATTTAAAAGCGTGGATTATTTATTAAGATTGGGATTTGTTTTTGTACTTAGACTTGGACAACTACAGTGATCAATTTGGTTTGTGCTCAAAATTTGGTCGCATTTTACAAAATATAAAGTGTAATGTTTAAAAAAAACAAAAAATGAATTTAATACAAATTTTAACAAGCACATCAAATAAAAATGATTTTTTTTTAACTTTTCCTTTCATTTCTTTAAAATATAACAATTGAATATACAAGTGTTTCACTATTGACCTATTGACCCTTGATTGTATCAATTAAAAATTTATCTACAAAATTATATCAGTTTTTAACGACTAACTTTAAATTTGATATAATCATATTTTTGAACAAAAAAAATCAATCTTTTTTAAAATAAATTTGAACTTAAATAAATACAAATACGTAGTAAAACAAATAAATTGCCCTGGTCATCATCTGATTGCAAAAAATAAATAAATAATAACAAAAATAAAGAAAAAATATTAGTTAATTTTTTTGTAACAAACAAATTACTTTTTTCCTAAATCCACAAAAAATTGACCACTTATTAAAATAATAATATGGCTTAAAAGAATATATACTACTTGACAAATTAGAAAAAAAAAAGGCAACGTTTTTTCTTTAAAAGCCAGGACATCAATGAAATAACTGCTTTCTGCCTATATTTGACCTTACTCAGGGCTAAGAGATAATGTTTCATAATAAATTACATCTTAGTTCACTCTGAAGAAGGTCAAATGCATAAAAGCTTGCCAATTGATAAATTTGTTAAATGTGTCATGAATGATAATAATCCTAATAAACCACCCTAAATTAAAAATTTGATGATCAAGAATATTGATGTTGTATTAATTAATGGGTTAATAAAAATTTATAGATTTGTTAAAATTAATAATTGCATTGTTTACATCACAAAAAATTATAATAAGTTAGGAACATTTGAGTCAGTTTATAATGTATGTTATAATGGTACAGTAACACAATTAAGGATGAAGTATTTACTGGTGATTCCACTTGTATTTTTTTTTAAACTAAAATCTCAGATTATAATTTGAAAATCGTCGTTTAACATTTTGCATCACATAAAGAATTAAGATTGTATAACAAAATAACTATAAATAAGAAAACTTTTTTTAAGATCACAGTTGATGTTTTAGTTATAGGAAGGAATTATTTTTGAAAATACAATATAGTAGAAAAAAACATATTAAATTGAACAAGGATGGATTAGCAGAAAACACGAATTTAAAATCAAATGATTCATCGGAACAGACATAAAATCGAGAGCTATTATGCATTTTGAAGCGATACACATTGTAAGTCAGGCAGACACACAAGGTTATTCGTTAATTTTGTCGATCATAAATAAAAATAACAATAATAATTAACTATTGTTCTTTAAAAAGAAAAAAAGAAAAAAATAGAAATAACAGATAAAAAATCAGACCGAACTGACGATATGTAAGAAAATCTACCATGTCACTCGGCAATTCATGAATCTACTATCTTTTCATTAAAAAAGAAAAGAAAAAAAGACTAGTTTCATAATCTTGATTCAAGATGAGAAGTGATACAATTTAAAATATAACATACAAAATCTACTGAATTGGGAAAAAATACAGTAAAAATCTTACCCTGATATTTTTTTTCTTCTTCTAAACACAATCTAAGTAATTTAAAGAAAGACCATCAGATACCATATCCATGAACTACCATAACCTTAATAGTTCTACTCATGGTAAGGGGTCGATCGACATAAATCAAAGCTGTCATCAGCCAAAAAATTAAAATTCAATTTTTTAAAAACATATTTTGACAAAGCTGATATTGATTAAATTACCTGGTGATAAAAATGAGAAAAAAATGGTATGAAGGCTGTGATTAGGCCATTAATTTATTAAAATGCCTGTTAGAGGGCTCTGACTATAAATAATTTTAAAAAAATTTGTGTGTTTTAGGTACATATGAGGAACCAGTTAGACCATGTCATACTGACATGCCATATTCTTAAATGACGATTAAAAACAGCAGGATTCCAAATCGATTCCAAAATTTATAACGCTAACAATATAGAATGTCTTTCGATTGTAGCGATCATAGAATCTTTTGACAATAATAAGATTATACATGTAAATGTTACAGTTAATACCTACCAACCTCAGGAGGGGATTCATGCATCCAAGACGAATTCTAAAACTTCTAAAAACTATTTCCAGAATACTTGGCACAAAAATAGATTTTAAATTTACAAAAACTCAGTACATATCAAGTTTTTCAATAACAACACATGCTGTTATTAATATAAAAGCTTGCTCTTTGGGAGGATTCACGGTGAGCAGTAAGTCAGAGATTTGTTGAAAATCGAGGCCTCGGCAATTCACCGAAAATTGCATCTCCGTGAATACTTTTCGCCAAGGCTTTTATACTGGCAGCAATGTCACTTGGTGCCAGAGCTGAACTCTCTGCAGGACCGTGAGGCGACTAAAAAAGATTATTAACAATGTACTTTTGCCCAAAATTAAATCCAATTCAGTTTTGTTTCTTATGTACAAAACAAAAGCGAGAGTATAAAATTAATATTAAATAAAATAATTCTTACTCTGTTCTTATCACCCTTTCTATCTTCCATAAACTTTGGTACAGGAATTGGAAGTGACCTAGCGATTATACTCGGATTGGTATACCTTCTATTGGAGCTTGTGTCTTCTACATTTTCTTCTACGTCTGAACCTAAAATTCAACATTTCAATAGAACAAATTCGATTAAATTTTCATACTGTATCACTCTTGAGTATATTGTTTTTCGAATAGTTTAGCTTTTATCACATATACTTCTCAGGATACCTGTCAGTTGCTACATCATATTTTCCCACTTTGATATTTATTTTTCTTTCAAATTCAAAACAATTTGAATTAAATACTTAACACTTCAAACCACTTTTACATAGAAATATTAAAATATAACTTCCACTAAAGGAAATGTAGTTTCAAGTTTTGCACACTTAATATTAATAACATCTGAACATGTTCACTCTGGACCTATACATCTTCACCTGTTAACCTTTGTTTACTTGTTGTATNTTGAGAAATTCGAAAGAACGGAGAGCTTGATGCCACAGTAGTGGCATCAACCTGGTGAAACAACCAGTTCATGACACCACTGAGGCACCATCAAATCATTTCTTTTTTTATTTATTTCCTACTGAAAATGAAAAAAAATGGGTATTTCATTTGTGATAAATCCAAAGATATGAAAAGGTACAAAATATGGAGAAGCTAGTTTTTTGTTTAAATTACCTTCTGAATTAGAATCATCAGTTGTGTCTTTACCGTAAGAATCAAACTCCTCCAAATCAAAAATCCTTTCACTGTCATAATGACTAGAACTGCGTTTTGTATTACGCATACTCTAGAAATAGAAAATTACACCTTGAATATAACTAATAACGCTGCAAATTATTAAATGCCACTAATAATTATGCAAATTTAGTCTCAATTAAAGACAAAGAGTAAAACTCAACTCCTAAAGTATAATTTAACTTATCTGTAAATAGTATGAATTATAATAATTAAATATAACCCTCTGTTTTTTAAAATATATTACCTTAACTGATGTAGATCTAGAAATTTCCCTGGTAGTTTCAGAGTTTCCTTTCACTTTGGAAGTTTTATTAGCATTGACTTCTGAAAGTAGCCTAAAAGAAAGAAAATATGAAATTACATGTCACATCGACACTTCTGATAATATAATGAAAAATATTTATTAAAGAGTTCATTATTATATTTTGAAAAAAAAATTGAAATTAGAAAGGGAGGCAGTGGATGTGGGATCACTTTTTTTCATGAAGCTTGTTTTTGGTGATTCTAGGTCGAAAAATATTAGATTTGAATGCGAGTATTCTTACCTAAAAGCCAAGGATAAAGTAAGTAATTTATGTACTTTTCTAAAGTAGATTTCTGCATTTTTCCCTTAGGGTAAGCAAATAATGTACAGGGTATAGTAATATAAGCCACTCAGTTACAAATTGTATTTACAAATATATTTCAATGATCTGAGATAGCCTAGGATAGCTGACAAATACATAGATTTTCCTATTAGTGGTATGGTTAGGAATGATTAGTTGCATGGTGGGGTTAGGGTATGTTATGTAGGTTTAGCATTAGGTGTAGAAATTATTTGGTTAGGTAGAGTGAGATTAGGGTTAGGGTTAGGAATGGTTAGGCAAGTTGAGGTTAGGGATGAAACTTTTCTTTTCTTTTCGTTATTTATTTATTTTTTTTTAACAAGAAACAAAGTAAATATTCATTTTCTGCATCACTAAGTAAAAGCTGACTGCAAATTTTTGAGCAAAACAAAAAATAATTTTATTCCCTCTAATTTTTTGCCTTCAAATTTATTCAAAATACACAAAATTAAATATAAATAATATAAATAACTTTGAAAAGTTGATCAGTCACAGATTGTTATGCATTTCAATACCTATGATACATATAGTGACCGAGTGACTTAGGCTAGGTTATGTAGGTTTAGTTTAAAGGATTAGGGTTAGGAATGATTGGGTTAGGTAAACATTTGAGGAGTTTTGTCTCTTTCAGTCTTATTTTTCTCAATTATGATAATATAAAATCTAAAAGTTGTTTACACAGACTGAAAGAAAACACATTCAACTTTCCAGAGATTATAATAACGTTAAAAATCTGATAACCCTGGCCGATCCAGCCCAACAATATATATATATATATATATATATATATGTCGGAGATGAAATGGAATGCAGTGACGTATCTGGCTAACTGTGACGTCGTGACATAGTCGAGACAACGAGTGGATCACAAAGAAGAAGAAGAACAAAGGACGAAGTCAGTCAGTCAGTCGATCAGTCGTGCCTTTGTCCTCAAAGCGAGAGCATCGTCATAATTGTACTTANGCTTCAAATGGCGCTTAAAACCAATTATATTTTTTTACCAAAAAATGTGTTTGGCCTACTTTACTAAAAGACTTTTGGTTTTTGTAACTTTTTGTATATCTAATTTCATTTAATACTATCCTCCATTATTTTCTTATCCTAGGTTACATAGGATAAGAGGTAGGGTTAGAAATAATTAGGTTACATTGGGTGAGGTTAGGGCACATTTTGTTGGTTTAGTGTTAGGTATAGAAATTATTAGGTTAGGTAAAGAGAGGTTAGTGTTAAAAAATTGACTGTTTTATAAAAACCTTTTAAATACATGCAAACAAAGGCAGAAAACCATACTTAAAAAAACATGTTAACACTTTTTTTACAAAAATTTATCTCTGCTCCTGGGGCAGAATTGGCAAGAAAGTGAATAACTATTTTTGACCTAGTATCACCAATGTTCCATTTTCGTTATCATCTTGTCAGTTACACATACCTATTTATAGCTAACTGATCTTTGTGCACTCTCAATTTTAATTTTTCCAAATTTGAATATTCTCTATCACAGAATTCTTTAATCCTCTCTTCAGTTTGAAGTGACTGTTCTTTGATCCAGTTAATAGCGATTGGATGCAAATAATCTTGACTTTCTGAAAGTAAATAAATAAAAACACTGACATAAATAATTCTAGTTAAATTCCCTATCCTTGCCCTAATCAATGTGCTTATAGATGTTCATAAGCTCATAGGTAATAATCCTTTTTCAAAACATATTTACTATAATTGCAATGGTTACGTATAAATGTATCTACATAATTTCTTGGGAAATTTGCTTTGTTCAAATTATCTGTTTGTCGATGCCGTTGGTGGATTTAGTTCCCCCTCCACCAGTTGGTCTTTGTAATCATCGGTCCTTTTTCTTTAAGAAGAATGTTAAATATTGTATATTTTTCGGCATTTTTGCACCTTATGTAGCAGTTTGTTGCTTGGCTGTACTGATGAGGATTCCTTTTAGTCGAGTTGCATAGTTTGATTTTCCATCATTGTCCCTAAATGAATTTCTTTGTTTGTCTATTTTTCATCTGACTGTATATTTGTTTCCACATTCATGTATACCATTTTTAGTCAAGTAGAACACTGAATCAGGTGTGACATACTAAGATAATCGCTAAGGATCATATTACAAATGACAGGGTCGTGTTGGAATGGGTTGACAGGTCAGTGGTATAAATAATGTACAGGAAAGGAGCTAAAATGATCCCTTGTGAACTCTGAAGCATCGATTCGTGCTTTAGTTTGTAGAGAATTCCCGGCTACTACATCGTATGCTTGAGCCCAAGAAACAGCCCCACGCACTCATTCTTTTCTAACACGGACAATAAACATACATATGAAGCAAAAACCTGAAGGGTAATGAGTGTGGTTTAGTATTAAGAAAGATCCCATTGAGAAATTATTTACCTGTGTCAATAGGTTCCTTCGGTACACTGTTGTTGATGATAATTTTGAACACGGGCGAGTATTTATCACTCTGGCGAAGTTTCTCCATTACACTGCTATCACTCTGGAAAAAAATACATACAATAACTAATTAATTTTCAATGGGAAAACTGAAAATGTAAACAAAAAGAAAAAAATTTCTAGCACAGGATAAAAATTAAAATAGGGCAGATATAAATGAAATTAGACTTTTAAAATATAAAGCCTCATTTTCCCTAACAAAATAAAAGTATAAAAAATCAAGTACTATACTAAATACTAAACTTTGTTAAAATGACTTAACAAGGAGGAAAAATTGAGTTTTTTATCTAAGCATTTCAAGATGTATAACATTAGTTACCAGCAGTTGCTTATTGATTAATGCGTTGTTAGGTCCAATTTGCTTTGTACAAGCATAAGCCCACATGCCACAGTTAATACACCGATACATTTGCCAAATACTTGTTATGCTTTCTTCCACCAATGTTCGAAGTTTCAATACGACGTGGATCACTTCAATCGTTACCAAATCCTGAAAAAAAGAAGAAGATCGATAAACACTTGTCAAACAGTATTAAATACCAGATTGGATGGCAATCTAAGACTATTGTAAATATTTAGAGGTGGTGAGAGAAGAAGGGAAAGAGAAAAATAGCGCATATATGAAAAACGTGAAAAAAATAATACAACATATTTTTCTGCTCATACTTTTACTTGATGTGTTAGTAATCAAACTTAATTCAATTCATTAATTATTAAAACTGTCAGTTCGGATATCTAACTGAAACTTTTAATGTGTCAAACATTTTATGGGCAATTTAAATCGTTATGGCTAACATATTAATCATTGCTCATATTCACCAGATTTAATTTAAAAAATGAATCATTGATTTTTCTAATAGCTAATATCATGGACGAACCTTTCATTAAAAATAATATTTATATGATGTAAATATCAAAATACATATTACTAGGTATTACACTGGCTGTGCATGAATTCGAGCCTCAGAAATCTAGAAAGAAAGAAAGAAAGAAAGAGAGAAAGAGAGAGAGAGAGAGGGAGGGAGAGAGGGAGAGAGGGAGAGANGAGAGAGAGAGAGAGAGAGAGAGAGAGAGAGAGAGAGAGAGAGAGAGAGAGAGAGAGAGCAAGAGAGCAGTTTATGGTATAAACTTGTCTTGTTTACAACTAGAACTGAGACCATACAAATTATTTTAAAACATTATACTTCAAATGTTAAGGAAAAATCTCGGTTTGCTATAACCGCTTGAATTCATTAAACATGGAAACATTTCAAGTTCACAAGGCGTGCTTGAAGAAGAACAAAAGCAGCTTTGTGAAAATTATAGTCAATGTAAGCTTATAGGTCGGCGAAACTTTTGTTGTTTTTTTTTAATCGCAAAATCTATCAACTTTTTCGTACGTTTTGTTTTAGGCTTAATTTTTGATATAAAATCGGCCAAAATGTCAATAAACGTTCAGAAGTGAGAGCACTTTATGTATAAATCATCAACGGGAAGTTGTAAACAAAAATTGAGACCATCCAAATTATTTTAAAAACATTATTCTTCAAATTTCAAGGAAAATTCTCCGTTAGTGCAACAAACTCTTGAATTCATCAAACATGGAAACATTTCATGTTTAAAAAAAAACGCGATTGAAGAAGAAAAAAGCAGCATTGTGAAGAGATCAAAATTCAAATATATGGACAACGTCAGCTTTTGGATCGGGTATAGTTTTGTATTTTTACCGCAAAATCTATCTATATTTTTGTACGTTTTATGCTAAATATTTGATATAAAATCCGCGAAAATGCCAAAAATCGTTCCGAAGTGAGAGCAGTTTATCGTATAAATCATCAACTGACAAGATGTACACAAGAACTGAGACCATCCAAATTATTTTTAAAACATTATACTTCAAATTTAAAGGAAAAATCTCTGTTCACTATAACACCTTGAACTCATTAAATATGAACAGATATCATGTAAAAAAAAGGTGCTCGAAGAACAAAAAGTAGATTTGTGAAGAGATGAAAATTCAAATTATGGTCAACGTCAGCTTTCAGGTATACTTTTGTTTTTGTTTTTTTTACCGCAAAATCTATGTATATTTTTGTACGTTTTACGCTAAATATTTGATATAAAATCCGCTAAAATGCCAATAATCGTTCAGAAATGAGAGCAGTTTATGGTATGAATCATCAACTGACAAGTTGTAAACAAGAATTTAGACCATCCAAATTATTTTTAAAACATTATACTTCAAATTTAAAGGAAAAATCTCCGTTCGCTATAACAAAAAAAAGAAGAAAAAAAAACGTGATTGAAGGACAAAAAAATCAGATTTGTGAAGATCAAAATGTGAGCTTTTTTTTAGGTGGTAAAGCTTTTGGTTTGTTTACCGCAAAATTGATCAACATTTTGAACCTTTTATGTTTTATGCTTAATTTTTGATACAAAATCCGCCAAAATGGCAATAAACGTTCAGAAGTGAGAGCAGTTTATGGTATAAATCATCAACTGACAAGTTGTAAACAAGAACTGAGACCATCCAAAATTTTAAAGTATTCCATGCCAACGAGAGTAATAGAAGAATATGACAATATCCGCTGGAAAGGAGTTGGCAAGTGGATTGAAAATCTCAAAAACATTAATTGTAAAAGCTGAGATTATAGGTTTTTGTCACTGTAATGCCGAACACAAATGTTACATTCGGCTTTTCTTAAAATCCTCATCTAGTGGATCTGTACGAAAATCCGTTTAATAAAACGAGATTGGCAAAGGAAAAGAATAAATCTAAGTTAATAATAGGGTTGAAGGAGCCGAGAAATTAACAAGGAAAGAACAAGAAAAAAAAATGATGACTGAAATGAGAGGCCGGGCCGAATGTACTGTCGTAGGCGAAAACCGCCTTGTATCAATTGTGAGAACATGGTGTTTATATTAAGGACAAATCGAAATCAAGGTCGGATTTGAATTATTTAATAGAAAACGTGGACATTTTCGAAAAGGTATGAAAAGAACGAGAAGACTGACAGGCGTATATAAAAAAAGCTGAATAAGGATTAAAACTGAAAATTGGTATTATAATCATCGGGTATAAACTTTTTTCCCACCCGAAAATTCAACGTTTTAAACATATTTAACTGCTTGTTTATCGTTGACAACAAACTGGCCGGGCTGAAAATAGAAAATTGCATTAAGGGGACTCGTCAGTGGGATAAGAAGGTCCTTAGTTGATAATAGAAAAATAACGTAAACAAAGCTCACCTCCTCGAAGATCCTGCCGTCTTCGAAGAGTTTCCTTACAGAAGGATCAATCGTTCCCATGCCGTTGTTCAAAGATGTTATTTCGATGTTGAGGCATTTACAGGCGTACTTCATGGCTCGGGCCGGTTACTAAACTGTCCAAAGAGTATTCAAAACTGTGGATAGTGCGGAAACAAATCGAATCGACTCGGGCACAGATAAGACCCGAAACCTATCCCATCTGTTTTTAAACGAGAAGGACGGAGAAACTCGTCTGTGAAGGGAAAACGTCGGGAAACGATCTGCCGCGGTGGAAAATCCGGTAAAATCGTCAACGAGCCTCGGGTCGAATAATGGAAGGAGTCCGACTCGTTTTCTGTGGTGTCGAGTTCGACTCGGTCGGTCCACTCGGTCTGGATACAGAATTAAAAATAAATCCTCAGCTGAAAGGAGAACCTCGTAAACGTTTGCCGAGCAGGGCTGCCAGCACGGACGAATTTCCCCGCGGCCCGACCTTCGAAATTGTCCCGGGAGTCTGACGGCCGGAGGGGAACGCGCAGACAGAATCACCGGCAAACAATTCGGAATTAATTTCGAACTTTTTCTATCTTCGGCCCTTTACGGTTTTTTTCGTGGAATGACCTTTGGGTTTCAAAACACGTGCGCCGTTGGGAGGTTTTACCGCTGTTACAATCACGCTGTACACGCGCTTCTTCTACTGAGAGATGGACTCAATTGAAAATATACAGAAGTTTTAAAAATCAAGTTAGAACTAACAAGAAAATATGTAAATTTGGTTTTATGTTATATTGATAGACAATATGCAAATTAAACAAAAATTCATATAACACATTTTGTAATTTTGCACGTCTCTACCATCAGCAGATTTATATGCGAATGGGAAGAATGTTTCAAGAGAAGAAGCTTATCAGGGGAAGAAGCTTAATTTCAATAAGTTTTGATACTGACCTGTAAACAATGGAAAAAGAAGAAAGACAGATAGAATACCTACACATACATTTTTTGTTTGTTAAAGCTCTCGAATCAGTCAACAGTCAGCAAAGCAATGCAGAAAAAATAAGAATCACTACCAACAGTAGAGTTACAACTGACTCCCTGCTGAACATCAAGGGTCTGCGTTCGGTAAAAAGGATGCAGCTAGTTTTAAGTACAACGATCTTCAATTTTCATCAAAAGCATAGCTTTATTCGCCCATGAAACTTATTTAATTTGCTTGCTATCGCACTGACCGGAGAAGTAGAGCGCAATATCATCAGCATACAGCGTTAGTTGACAGAACTTAGGTTTTTGGTAAAGCATTTAGAAAATTAGAAAACAGAGCTGAACCCAGCTGCTGTAATAAAGGAATATGAAAATGAATTGTTAAGCACAATGCAAAAAGACCTCTTTTGGAGGTATGTATGAACATACAGTTTTGACTACATATGCTGGGAATCTAACAACAAAATAATTAACAAATTAGAACTAAGAAGAAATGTTTAAGTTTTTCTTTATGTGATATTAATAGACAACATGCAAATGCTATAAAATTATGTAACACATTTTGCATGTCTCTACGGTCAGATTTATAAATGCGAAACAGGAAGAATATCTCTAAGTCTGAATAAATTTTGAAAGTAACCTGTAATCGAGAATCACTATTGATTCACTGCTGAACATGAAAATACATCTGCCCCTAATAGACGAAATAATAAATCCTTAAAGAGATTGTGGATGCATTCACCGACTAATTTTGATGTGATTTTTTACATGCTAAAACTTAGCTGCTTGGCTATCCGATTTTATAAAAATACTTTTATCACTGTAACCTCTTTTAAATTTGTTTTATTTTATTTATTTATTTTTTAATAATTTTTTTTAAGGCACAAGCGTTGATGGTATGTATTTGTGTTTTGAAGCCACATGTGTGTCGTATCATTGAACCTGATGTTCTGAATTCTACTCCTCCTTTGTAGTCTGTTGAGGCTTTATAAGATGTTGTCATCAGGGACATACAGGATCATATAGTCAGTTCCCATTTCTAAGAATGGGTATCTGTTTTATTGATTCTTGTTGTGAGCCTGAAGTATTTAGTTCCCATCCAGTTTGATTGTTTCTGGAGCCTAAAAGAGTTTTTCCTCGATTCTCCATGTATAAATGTTTCCAATGGTTTAGCAGAGTTTTTAGTGCAATTGTCGGGGTTGTTTTCATTGCCCCTGTGATACATAGGTTTGCTAATCTTTGTATGCTGCCTAATGTTTGGGTAGCTTGTTTTGTTGAGCTTTGGCCTATCAGATTAATGAGCCATATGTTATTTTGAGACTTATTATTGCTGTGTAAAGACAATATATGGCAAAAACCACCTTATCAATAATTGTTGTTACTTAGAGAATTCACCAACACGTACCAATTGTAATTTTGCAATCAGATGGGGAAAGTTTACTTTTGCCCCAGTTCAGATGTGGAAGCAGAATTTGTATTATATTCACTGATGGATCAAGATCTGAAAATAGTACATGCTGTGGAGTGTAGAGCACGAGTCATTTCCTATTTTCCTTATAAAATAATAACAAAACATTATTCAAATGGTTTCTTGGTAATGCCGCCATAATGAGAACAAGAAGGCTGACAGAATGGCACAACTGGAACTCCTCAAGATGAGGTCTTTTTTAATGACCTCTACCATAACTTTATGCAGCTCGGCTGGGAAGCATGGAGCGTGAGGGAGCCTGCACAAGGAAACAATTTATTTGTTATTTTATTGTAAACTAAGATTCGAGGTATTGTCCATCCATGTAGAGTAGGTCTAGTCTATAAATCCTGGTTTTTCTAAAGAAAATAATTTAGCTCCCTTGAACCGGCATTGGGCTATTAATTGGGTCCGTCTTCTCTCATGTGTTTTTTCAACTACTCAAACGTGTCAGTTCCTCACTGAAGATGGCTCAAAGCATCTGAGTAATTCAACAATGAGTTTATCGACTCCCAGACCAATACCCAGCATCAACTTACTCTCATAGATTTGTTTTTACACCCGCAAGAATGCTCGTCAAGTAAGGATTGAAAAAGATAGCATGCGAATATAGAGTGAAAATGTTTGAAAGGTTCAAGAGAAGGGGCAGTATCGAGCATTAAGGTACACCATATCTTTTCCATATTTGCAATGTCCAGTTAAATAGCTTTTTTATCAATTAATGAGTCAATTTGCTCTTCAAATTCAATATCAGTTAGAGAAGCACTTTTGACTTCTTGATCACCTTTTCCAAAAAAAAAAAAAAAAAAAAAAAATCAGTCGTCTGTTCCCTAATGAAAAACCTTGTAGGTGAACGAATCTTAAAAATGTTTAAAACAAAAGAAATTGTATAGTTTTAAATGTGAGCTTAGAGTGACCAACCATCAACTTGATCTTATAACTACCTGTGAGGATGGCCTTTTACCCTCAATCTAACATTTAATTTTTAAGAAAAGAAAATTGCAATTTTATACGAACAGTTTTTAATTTTTGACATGCAAATTCGATAAATTATTTCTGCTTTTATTTTCATAGCCTTGCAGAAAGTAAAACATCTGTTCGATCTTCGATGTTTGCGTTTCACATGGTAGGTTTCGTGTGTAACTATCAACTAGACACACACGTTACCTTCAGCTATAAGTGTGTACCTATAGTTTTCAATTGTTCCAGGTCTAGATTAATTTTACCGTGACGGTTTTATCGCCGTTCGCTACTTTGAGAAGATAACAATAATAAGATAAACGAAAAAATTCTACAGACGCGTTCCATGTAAGTAGGCGTGTATCTTTGTTTGCAATTTCTGTTTCAAAATGCCAGGCTCTTTTGTTCTATGAATATAAGCTACATAGTACTACCATGACCTTACTGATACTTTTTGTCAAAGAGTTGGACATTTTGTCTGGACTTTTAAGTATTTGCCCATTTGTTAAATTATGTTGAGGAAGCATCTGGGTTCCCTGTTCTGGTTTTTGGAGGAAACAGGGCTGGTTTACTGTATTTAATATATCTAGGCTTGTGTTTCTTTCTGTATATAGAGATTGAATGTAGTTATTAGTGTGACTGTGTAGACTGAGAAGGCCGATGGTGGAGTGAACAAGGGCAAAATAATCCTTTAAAAATGCCTTTGTTCACTTTTGTATTGGTGGCATAAAACAAACGTTGCTAAAATGCCCATAATCAGTGAGCAAGTTGCCCTTGCCATTGTGCTTCATTGAGGATGGAAGAAATCTGCGTTTTGCTGCAAGAGTTGTAAATTTGCCTAAAACGATGGTTATCGGCCATTCAGTGGTACCAGGAGATGGCAAGGTGTACTCAGAGACCAGGATGGGGTTACCAAGAATCAAGGGAACAGCTGACAACACTAGATCTATCAGATTTCACACTCTGAGGCAATGCTTTTCCATTGCTTCTGAAACATCTCAAAGACTTTGAACTGTGTTGGATGCGTCTGTTAGTGCTAAAACAGGAAGAAGGAGACTTGCAGAAGTGAGTCTACATCCCACAAGGCCAGCAATGTGTCCAGCACTTACCAGAGACCATCATCGGAACTGCTTAGAGTTTGCAAGTGACACCCACTGGCATTGGGCAGAAACAGTAATGAAGGAATTTTATGTTTTTAGACAAGTCCCCATTTTCTCTCCATTCACCAAATGGATGTCTTCACAAATTTATCGAGCAGCTGTAGAACTCTACAGACAATACAACATTTGCCGAAAGTGGTTTGGAGATGGTTCAGTTATGGTGTGAAGTGGAATTTCTTTAGAAGCACAAATGTAGTTAAAAATTTGTAATTATGGCATCACTTAATGCAAAAATCTACATGACAAAAATTCTTGAGGAATAGTGGTGCCATTTGCTGCATTTATTGGCGAGCAATTTTTGTTTATCCAAGATAATGCAAGACCAACTGTCACCACCAGTGTTATGCAATACCTTTGAGATATTAACATTTACATCCTAAGACGCCCAGTCTATATTCCTTATTTGAACCCCATTGAGTACTTTTGGGATGAGCTTGGACATTGGTGAAACAAAAAATAACCCTCCTACAGCTTAGCTGAGCCGAAGTTACATTATTTGAGATTGGGATGAAATTCCTCAAGAAGTGATTACAGGCTTAAATATGAGCATGCTGAGAAATTTAGAGTGTGTAATAAGAGTAAAAGGAGGTAGTCCACCTTAGTAAATATTGTCAAGTTTGTTTTACTTTTTTTTTTTAAGAGAGTGAGAGGGGGGAGGGGGAGCGAGAGAGAGTGAGGGAGAGATTTATTTTCCCACTAATCACATCTTTTAATAACTACCTGAATTGAAAAAATATTGGTTTTTTATTTACTGAAAAGGCAAGTACATAAAAATTAACAAAAGTTTAAAGTGCGCCATTTTTTTGGTGGAACAGTTTATAACGGGTGTAAAGGAATCAAGTATATTCTACCACCTTGAGTGAATGGTAGTAAATAAAAAAATGTATTTAAGAGTGAGTGAGAAAGTGAATGGATTTGGATTTTGGTACTGATTGCGTTGGGGGCTGAAATGACCTACTTGTTGATTGCCCCTGGCTGGATGGATAAGTCTGACCCAATTTAATTTACAATAAATTACACACCATTATGTTATCAAAATGGCCCATATTAATTTCCTTTCACTGTGTAAGAGAAATGTTTAGGCTAACACCTTTTGTTTGCTTGAAAGAAAGAATCTAGAAAATTCATAGCTGGAGCTACAGCAAAAGAAGGTCTTGAATCTTACGTTGTGTCTGTGAGATTGTCTATTAGTAGGTCAGAAGTCTGGTGAATAATAATAATTTGTTACAATTGTTAAATGAATTAATATTTAATTAAAGAAAGAAAATTACAAACCTAGGCTAGCTTTTTTATATTAATGTTCATTATTTATCATTTGCTGTTCTGAATTGAAAAATAGTAGACTTTAAAGGGATAAAATATTTAAAAAGTAGACATAATAAAAAATATAAAAATAATAAATATAAAATTTATAATAGTATAAATATAAAAACTCATTTTAGGAAGCAGGTCAGGTTGTATTTACCACTACCGAGTAATGAACCTAGCTGATGTGGCATTTTTTATTTTATGCTACCTCAGTCTTTTTTTCACTTTAAAATTAATTCAGAACTCTTTGAGTAATACAATTTATAATCTCTGGTAAGTAAATAGTGTAGTAATAGGGATTTTTTTTCAGTACGAATGAGTCAAATAAAATCTGTTATGTTCTGAAACATTTTTTTTACAAGATATTTAGTTTTATATAATACAAGTAAAGTTGTTGATACATACAAATTAAAAAAAAAGAAAATTTAGCATTAGGGTGAAATAGAATCACACAGTGGCGACACTTCCAGTAGGGATTATGTCTACTGCCCAATAGGTCGTGAGGCCACTGCTGTTTTCATCTCCTGGGAAGATTATTGAGGATAGTAGAAGGTGTTAAGCTCTCTTAAGAGATTAGGGTGTAATGAAAGGGATTTGTGGAATTTTATGTATCGAGATTCTATGACATCTTTTGGAAAAAGGAATTTTAAGATCATTGTGGCCTGTGTAATTGGATACGTACCATTTTTAGCGTTTACTATTTTTCTACAAGATTGGGAAAGCTGGATGTGATTACAATTTTTGGTTGAACGCCGTACTTCGATGCCTTACGACCAAATGGGATTTATTATTGCCTTATCAGTCGTTTGTTGTGAAGCGTTAGTTTCGATTGTTAGTCTAGATGCCATGACAATGTTTTGTAACATCTGTACAGTTCCTGCTTTTGTATTCTTGCATGTGGATTCCTTTTGTCATTATACATTCTGAGGTAGCGCATGTGGTTAACTGTAAAAGGTATATGATGTACGTATAGTGGTGGCATTATTCCACATCAGAGGGTAAAAGTTATATGCTAGTTTTTACCAATATTTATTTTTAATCAAGGGTCTGTGTTGAAAAGATGAGCCTGTAGGGAGCGATGTGAAAGTCGAGATATTTATTGGATATCAGTATCATCTTCAAAAGTGTTGGGGTGGGTAAGCCATATACTATGAATACAGGATGGGATCAAGGACCCTGTGGGACTCCAGCCTTAAAAGGGCAGTAGTCAGAGAAGAATGTTCTCTGGTTGGCCTGAAAGAATCAGACAATTAGGTATGTTGGCCAGAGGATCTCAAGACTAATATAGGAGTGCTAGATGTAGTACACTTATGATAAACCAACCCTCACCAACACTGGCAAACTCATTTCTACAGTTAGGGAGGGCTAAACTGGTGATAGGACTACCGGTTATTGGCATCTGAGAAAACATCTACATAACATGGATTCAATAATGACCCCATCTGTAGGTTATACAGCGAGGAGGAAGAAACCACCCATATCATCTTCGAATGCGAAGCAACCGCAGAGACATAACCTGGATACAAAGAAAACCCAGGGAATGGAATTGTAGCAATGACAATCAATGACTGAATACTTTTTAGAAGGATCGAATCGATTGCACTGAACTACGGAAGTACGAAGGTTCAATAATCCAGAAGACTGCAGTACCTGGGGAGCAGAAACCGCCACTTCCTAGTATCCATAATAATAATAGTCACCATAATCAAGTATGGTTGGAAGATTATCTAGGTTAAGGGAATATCTTCCACATCAAACCCGGATCAAGCTTTATCAAAGGTTTGACCATGTCAGAGAAAAAACCCAAGCAGTACTGTTTCTGCTCAAAATATTCCATCTAAAACACAGTGGTATTTCTAGATTTGGTTTATGGGAGCCTGGTCAGATGGAATAATGTTTTGTTCTTCTAATGCAACGGATTCTTTAAGGATCTTCTCGAGGATTGTTATTCTAGTATAGGTAAGAGGCTTATTGAGGTAAATGTTTAGGTTTATGGGTCTTTGGTAATTACCCAGGGAAAGTGAGTAGTTCTTAGTACAGTGTTATTATAGGTATGTTAGGAAGATGATTTGTTACGAGAATTGAAGGATTTAAGATGTTGTAAGGTCTTATGCAGGGGCTTTCTTATTTGGAAGGTTTTCGATGTTACACTGAACTTCTGAAGGATGAAAAACTTTTGCGGAAGGGCATGCTGTATCTTGGTTGAGTAAATCTTCATTTAGAAGTCTTATGTGTATCTTTTCAACCTCATTCTTACTACATGACCTAAGCCTTGATAGCTTTATGAACCTAAATCTGGCTCAATAAATAGGTAGTAGAGATTGTACTCTTCCACCATTGGTCACTCTTTTCACAGTTCCAAGTAAGAATGTTCCTTTCAAAGATTAAAAGTTTTTTTTTAGTTTAGAAATTGTTCTATAAGTAAAGGACATTAACATTTTATAAAGCCTAAACTGGTCATTCTCGCAGTGACGTGAGCCTGAGAGGTTCACAGCTTATCCAAGTCTTGCTGCTACCTTCTGAAATAAGAATCCTTCTACTGTGGCTTTAGATCCATTTAGAACATCCAAATCATAGGCCTATTCAAGAACCTGAACTAGTCTATTAAATAGACTTGGTTTGAATGCCTATATAATTGATTTCTCAGTGGACATGATAATCCCTGCCTTATCATAATACAAATTATAAAAAAAGTTTTAGTTTCATTGTTCGTTTGATAGATAATCTCATTATGACAACAAAAAGGAAAGGCTATGATTGGGTTGTGGAAGAGAGTGTGAACAGGCCTACTTTGAAACTTTTCAACAGTTTCACCAAGCGAAAAGAAGTTTTCAAGCCGAAGGAAGGAAACAAGATCATCTGGTACAGCTGTGGCCCAACGGTCTATGATGCTTCTCACATGGGACATGCTAGGTCTGTAATTTAAATTTTTTAAAAATTCATTGCTGCATTTTTTTTAAAACATAATACAATTTTCAATTAGATCTTACATGTCATTCGACATACTAAGGCGAGTGTTGAAAGATTACTTCAAGTATGATGTTCTGTATGTAATGAACATCACGGATATCGATGACAAAATCATAAGAAGAGCTCGGAGGCAATATCTCTTCAACAAGTATCTTGAAACTGCCGCAGCGAAGGGGAAAAAGAGCGAGGAAATTTTGGCAGACGCTTGTGAAGCTCTTACAATTTTCCGCACCAAAGTTGAGGTAGGGTTGAGTATTGTTTTGTTTAGTAATTTATGTTTGTTATTATTACTATTATTTTTTCTATAGGCTGCTGAAGACCAAGCAGTTAAACAGATGCTCATCAATCAGACAGAGAAGGTCAACAGCGTTATGCCTGAGCTGGAGGCTGCTGTTAAGAAAAATGATGATGCCTTATTAGGGCCGGTTCTAGAAGTAATATTTTATTAAACTTGAAAATTTAAAAAAAATGACAATTTTTTTACACTGGGTTGTAGAACTTTTTGAGAGTGAGTGAAGACGTCATGAGCGAATGGCTCGACCATACCTTAGGCCATACTGTGAAGGATAATAGCATTTTTCTCTCCCTGCCGCGATATTGGGAAGAAGAGTTTCACAAAGACATGGAAGCTCTCAATGTAATTTATTAACATGCAAATCAAATTTCTTGATTATTTTTTTATTTAATTTTTTTTATAGATATGCGTACCAGATATTGTATGTAGAGTGACTGATTATATTCCAGAAATAATTAAATATATAGAACAAATTCAAAATAACGGTTTTGCATATGAATCACACAATTCAGTCTACTTTGATGTTACAGCGTTCGATTCGAACAGTACTCACCATTATGCTAAATTAGTGCCGGAAGCAGTTGGTGACCTTAAGTTGTTAGAAGAAGGAGAAGGTAACTGTCAATATATATACATATAAAAATGCAGTTTTCATGTTCTCCTGAATTAATTTTCAGGCGTACTCTCAGAAAGTAAAGAGAAAAAATCGCCCGGCGATTTTGCTTTATGGAAAGCGTCAAAACCTGGCGAGCCATTTTGGGATAGCCCTTGGGGCAAAGGACGTCCAGGATGGCATATTGAATGTTCGGTAATGGCTTCGCACATTTGTGGCGATACACTGGACATCCATACAGGTGGGGTCGACTTGAAATTCCCCCACCATGATAATGAAATAGCACAAGCCGAGGCAATTAATTTATTAATTTACAAAACAATTTTTTTTTAACTTACGAATATCTCTTGTTTTCAGGCTTATTATAAAAAAGACTTATGGGTTAGGTACTTTCTTCATTCAGGACATTTAAAAATCGAAGGGCAGAAGATGTCCAAATCCTTGAAGAATTTTATTACTATTAAAGAAGCTCTGACAAAGTATACAGCGAGGCAGTTGAGATTGCTGTTTCTGTTACATTCTTGGCGCGATCAACTCGATTACAGTGATTCGACAATGCTCATGGCCTTGAATTATGAGAAGACGATAAATGTATGTTGAAACTATTTAAAATGTACAGTTAAAACTACTCGAAAATCCGATTTTGTTGGCCACATTGAACATGTTAACACATTCGTTTGGCTCTGATTTGCAAAGCCTCTCCTGAAGTATGGCAAAAATGTTGGTTAAATTTTTTTTCTTCAAAAAATCCCAAAAGGTCAAAGTGAAAAACGATCTAAACGATCTTCACAGTAACATTGCATGAGCAGACCTGGACAGAGGAAGATGCCCAGAACTCAAGAGAACAAGATTCTTCCATAAAAAAAAAAAAAAAAAAAAAAAAAAACTAGGCAAAACTACAGCTAAACAGGGTAAAACTAAAAATAATAGGGCTCTACTGGCCATTGGCACTTGAGAAACCACCTACAGAACTTGGATTTATTCATTTGTTTATGTTATGCATGAGGAAGAAACTACCTTCCATTATTCAAATAAAGACATGACGTGGGGTACTGAGACCTAGGAAAATTTTTTTTTCAGATGACAGAAATTCCTGGCGTATAGGACTAAATGTCCAACTACCGTAGGGTGTCGTGGACGAGGGGACAAACTACTTTACAGTATTTCTTTATACTATTTTGAATAAAAAGTCATGGACTTTGCCTGATTTTGAACCCAGTACCGCAGGTGTGGCAAATACGAGTCAGAGGCCCAACACAGCCCCTCCCCCCTTATAGCGACCATCTCTTTTAACAGATTTCCATTCCCACTAAAAAAGATAGGATTTCTGTACATTTTAAACCCCTCCAGACAATGCCTTCAGTCCCAATCAGAGTAATTCATCCTTCTAGGATGGATATAAACATTAAAAACACCAGGTATCCAGTTAGGTTCGGGCGGTTTTTATTGTGTTTTAATCCTGCTAATCAACATTTCTATTTACATTGAGGTTGAGGTGTTTACATCACATAATACAAAGAGAATAAGGCATCATTTCATTAAGAAAAAGTGTCTTGAACATGGTAAATAATAATTTTCTTTCTCATGGTTTCAAAATCCATAAATTCCATAAAAGTTACAGGTGGATAAGATTATAAACTGTAGGTCAGTCCTAAAAATATTAGTTATTAATTTACCTCAGCCTAACCTTTGATTACAGGAATTTTTTCTGAGGGTAAAAGACTTCTTGAACATTTCAAAAAAGACTAACTTCGTTGATAACTTCCACAAATATACAGATAACGATGTTAAAATGAAGGAGAAGTTTCAGAGGACTAAGGATGCTGTTCATGCTGCCTTCTGTGGTAAATATATTTTTCTTTGTGGGTACGGCGATTTTTACTGTTGTTAATTTTGTTTCAATTTTAAACGCAGATAGTGTAGATACAAGGACTGTTATGGAGACGATCAAAGAGTTTATAAGCTACTGCCACTCGTACTTAGATCAGAAGAATGTCGACATATCTCTCATCGAGAACATCGCTTTATATGTTACTGATATGCTCAAAATATTCGGCCTAATATTTGTAAAATCTTCGATTGGATTTCCAGTCAATGTGAATGCCTCTGTGGACGTAAGGATTCAATGCGCAGACGTGCTTTTTCAGTTTTACCAAATGTTTTTATTTTAGGTGGAAGAAGTTCTCACTCCATATTTAAGGATTCTAGGTAACTTTAGGGATGATGTAAGAAATAGTGCCAAGTGTTCGAAAGATATTGAAGTTTTGAAATTGTGTGATCAATTGAGAGACGATGTTTTACCAAATGTCGGGGTACGTCTTGAAGATAAGACTGGTACGTTTAATTTTCTTGTTATACGTCATTGTTTTATCAAAAACATTATTTCAAACCGTTAGAAGGCCCCTGTACAATCAAACTAGTCGATAGAACTGTACTGTTGGAAGAACAGAGGATCAAAAGGGAAGAAGCTGCAGCTAAAATGAATAAAAAGAAAGAGAAAGTGAATGTGAAACAAAATCCAGAACCTGTTGAACCGCCACAAAACATGTTCCGTTCCATGAAGGACAAATATTCAGCTTTTACAGCAGAGGTGAATGAAATTCATTAATTTAGTAACATTTCTATTATAATTTTGTATTCTATAAAATATAATTTTGTATGCTCAAAATCCATTAGTAGTATTAAAAAATATAATATTTATATAATTTTACTTTTAGGGTATGCCAACTCATGATGCAGAAGGTAAAGAAATTAGTAAGGGGCAGATGAAGAAGCTTACAAAACTGTACCAAGCTCAAGAAAAGAAATATGAGAAATTTGTTGCTGATTCAGCTTTAAAAAAATAAATAAACATTACCCAAAATTAATTTTGATTTCTAATATTTATTAACAAAGGAATTAAATGTTTGTTATTTTTTTTAATACTTTGTACCTCCTCTTTTTCCTTCCTACCTCCCTCTATCTTTTAGAATATTGAAATTAAATACCATTCTATTATTTTATTACTGCAGGGGGAAAATCTGCCCAAATATCTTCTTATATCCATACTTTTTTATTATTTATCTACCTGTTTTGTTTTAATACATTTCTTGTTTCATGATGATGTAAAGTAAGCAGATTTTAATTTTCTTTTCTTTAATAACATCACAATTGTGCAAAACATTATTTGTTAAACAATTTAAAAACTAAAGTAAGTGTATTAAGTACAAACAAATGAGACAGATAATTCTTTTAAACATATATGCTGATAAATTGGCCAAGGAAAGTTCGATGAGGACACCTATCGGTCCTGAACCCTTTAGCAACATACCCGTCAGCTAATGGATTAACACTACCCGTACCATGACTGGTCAAATGACCAGTTGTAAACTTTTGATTAGAAAATTTGCATAAAATGTTAATGCTTTTTCACATTTCTATTAAATGATTTGTCAAATCTGATAAACACGCCTAGCATCATTTACCATGACAGGTCATATCACCGAGATAAATATTTACTGCCTTATAAGAGCGTTGAATTCAAAAATATAATGCTCATTCACATTCTATGTACTATATGAGTTTGTGGTACATTTCTGCAAAGACTGTTGTGTAGTAAGCTTGATCAAAAATAGGGGCAAATTGAAATTTCAATGAAGTGCCTAAAATTTCAAGTTGAAAGAAGGTAAAAACTAAATATTGTTGGTAGCTCCATTACAGTTATATTAGTGTTTACCCAGGAAAATGTCGAAACAATCTAGACAGTCCAAGTACTTAGAAGAAATAAATAACAGGTGAAGAGTTTTCGGGAACTGATGATGATGAACTCTCTGAAAGTGAAGACAGTTTGGAAAAGTGATCTATTAGACTGTGAGTCCGAGCCTACAGATATCGATGATGAGGAAAAAAATATTCTGAATAATTGTGGAGGACAAAAAAGAATGAAATTGCTCTCAAGTTCTGAAGAAGAGAATGAAAAAAAAAATGATCGACATATTTCAATTGATGGACCTGTATGGGAAAAAATTGCCAATAGGTGCTACACCTTCAAAACAATTTTCAGAGAAGGACCAGGGGGTATGTAAAACGTAATATTATGAAGAGTAAGATGAAGATTGCATTTTTGTTGATTATTGACCACCACATTATGAAACATATAATAGTATGCATGATAGAAGAAGAAACTGAATGGAGTCTATCTCGATCGAAATTAGATGCATTTGTTGCTATTTTATATGCACGAGGTAAATATGATGCAAACAATTTGAAAGTTTCTTTTCATGGAATAAAACATGGTGCGCCAAATTTTTCTCAGAAACCGTGAGTGTAAATTGTTTTATAGAAATTCTCAGATTTTTCCATTTTGATTTACAAAAAAGTGTGCAGAGCCAATGCTTGAGAACAAAAAAATTTGTCCTGATATCTGAGGGCTGGAATAAGAATAACAAATACGAAAAGAACATTGATTATTTCCATGACAGAAATAAACGTAAAACAAGTCAAATAAAGAATTGTAAATAAACTTGTAAATATAAAATAAACAGTTTGAAATAAACAACAAAATTTGAGTGTCAAGTTTTTTATCGTCAAGTATATTTTTCTATTAAAAACCTCCCAAAAAAGAAGAAAAATAAAGGCTGAATTTAATATATAATTGCCCAAAGATTGATGAGATGGATTTCATAAAATATCTAGGTGTAATAGTGGATAGAACTGAAGGAAAAAACAAATATACAGGTGTATTAAACCCTCCTCTCAAAAAGAACATTATTAAAAGTTTTCACGTAATATTGTAAACTGCTCACTCTACTTTGTAATAGCGTACACACTATTAACAGTTCATCACTTGGGCATAATACTAAGTAATTACACGTATTTATTTAATCTCTTTATTCCATTAATCTTACTCTTATCATTCTATTCTCCTTATATTATATTATATTCTCCTTTTTAACCTCCCTTCTCCCTTCTGCCACTTTCTCAATATATCCCTACAATATCCATATCACGTAATAATATATATAACATGTAATACAACATATATAACATACTTGGTGTTAACAGATATTATTTAGTTAATGAATTCAATTATTAGTTTTTATATTATTTTTTTTATCATATTATTTATATTATTAAACATTTTTTGCATACTATGTTTTTTAGTTTAACTATAACAATATTATAATGTAATTTCAATTCATTATTTTTAATATTTTAAATGTTATATTGGAATTCTTTTTTGTATCTAATACTGCTTTGTTGTTTTCTTCTATATTCTACAACAATATTTGTTATCATTATATCAGAACTATGCATGGTTGAAAAATATCCAAGCTTTTGCATTGTTTCTTACTTTATAGTATGTAATATGTAGCTATTCTAAATAAAGCATCCTATTGTTACTATTACTTATGTTGGCTAAACTTAGTAAGACAATTGCTTGAAAAAACAAGTAATACTGTAGTTCCAACAGCTACCGTTAGATAGCGAATCTAGTATTCTTCCAGATTTTTCTTTTAAAAAAGTTATATATTTCCATTCTGCACTCTTCCTTGCATTATTTTTGTTTGTTTTGATTTAAATATGGTTTTAATTAATAATTTTTCTTTAACATGTGAAACAAAAACAAGGCTAGAAGATGATAAAATTAATATTTTTTAAAACTATAATTGTTTTTTTTCAATTAATTATTCTTTGTATGTAAGGTCTTGGTTAAAATGAAAAAAGTTAGTGTCACGAACGGGATTCGAACCCACGACCTTCGGCTCAATGCGCCGCTGCTCTAACCACTTGAACTATCGTGACAATTAAATGAAAGCAGTCATTTGGTCATCAGACCACCAAAAATAATGGATCTAATTAAAATGTTGATCCAGTGAGTAATAAAATTTGTAGTAGTTGCCTGAAAATATCTTTGGAAGTTTAAAAAAAAACTCTTGTCAGTTCTTTAATTTTGATCAATGTAGGCTTATGTAATTAGGCACACAACATAAGATGCATTTATCATACTTGTATTTTTTAAATTACTTTTTTACATAGGGTTCGCAACAGTAGAGGTCATATCAACCCCCCCTGATTTGGAAAAAAAGTCCATTTGCAAGTATGTCGGGTTCGAATGCAGGGCAGCTGGATTCGAACCCGGGACCTTTATCTTGTAGTGATGAGCGCCGTGTTGTGGCCACCGACATCCCACTACACCATTAAATATTTGTTGATTGTTTTATTTATCTGTAAATCAATATTGTTTTGCCAGCAAAAGATTGTGTCATTTTTTAAACACGATTTCATGACAGATTTGTAATTTTGCCAGATCTTGGTCGTATAATTGATCTTAGGTGATAAAAAACGACTTCTGCTTTTTCAAATATTGTTTTATTAATAGGTTTTTTATGCAATTAGCAATATAGGACTGGAAACAAAAAGGACAACAATTTTACAATTTTAGATGATTGTTGTGTCAGAAAATTTATTGTCAGTGTAGAGAGTTAAGCCATTGGTTGGGCAGTATAGGAATTTTCTGCATTTTATGATAATCTCATCCAATCTTGGGTTGATTTCTGAAAAACTGAAGGCAGATCAAGATGATCGGGGGCAACTTGGAAAGACCTACCATATTCTATTTTTGTTTTTGTTTTTAATAAGATGGTGAAAAAATTTGCTTTTACTGTTTTTAGAAAAAGAAAATTCACCAGTGTTTTCGGTGCTTTGAAAACGAATTGGGGGCCCCGTTTTTATTTTCATGAGGATTTAGAGGAACGAGACTATTGTCCAAGGGCGGAAGACTCGCAGTCTTGAAAGAGTTGTATCGACCAATTTTTTTTATGCCCTCCTCACCCAGGGAGAAGAGTTTTTGCCTTTCCCTCACCCTCAGAGGAAGGGGTCTCCCCTCGGTCGCTATGGTTACTAAATAATCAAGACTAAATTATCAAAATGACTCTTTACTTCCCTCTTCGTAAATGAATTATAATATTCGCTTGAAATGTAGAACCGTCATTTCGGCGGAACGCTTCATCGGAAAAGAAGACAGACAAAAAAACAAACGGAATGTCCGGCTTATCCTCTGGAATATTTAGAAATACAAGATCGACCAAGGACAAACTCGGAAAAAGCCCTTTGTTTAAAAATCTCTTTTTTAAATTAAATGGCAGAAGAAAAAGTCTAGGTTCAGTCTGCGATGTCCTAAGGCTGATTTCATCCCTTCAAATATGAGAATAGGCAGACCAGGATGGAGGGTGGAGATAAAGCTAGAGTATCACCAATAATTGTCATTGTCACTATTTAATTTATCATGAGACCTGAGAAGACTTTAATTTGAAACTTTGATGATGAGGATACTTGGTTGGTGGGGTTTTTCAAACTACCCAAGCAGCTTCTCTCGATCTCTGAAAACTAATTTCTATGGACATGAATTTTTAACTGAACTGCATATGCAATGAATATGAGCTGAATATGCATGATTATATAAAAATGTGTAATATTTAGTGCCCGTTAGGTAATGATTATTTAGAGATCGTGAGATGCGATTTGGTGTGATGTAGGTTTAGAAAAACATTTTCTTATCGTGTCAACGTTTCGATCTTTATTGAGATCATCTTCAGGGCCTGGGATTTACAAACATTGTTTAAATTATACAAACACATGCAAGATATAACTGTGGATTTATGGAATGATGTACACAATATAGAAATTTTAGATTTAATCAAAGTATTAATCTTTTTATGTAAGGTTTTGGTTGAAATGAAAAAGCTAGCTAAAGAAGTAATTTGGTCAATAGACCACTAAATATAATGGATTTAATCAAAGTATTTGTACTCACTCAAAGTGTGTGTTTTCTGTGCAGATGTGTCACTGTTCTGCCTCGAGTTGAGAGTGTTGGTGAGAATCATTT